GAAAGAAAGAAAGAAAGAAAGAAAGAAAGAAAGAAAGAAAGAAGGAAAGAAAGAAAGAAGGAAAGAAAGAAAGAAAGAAAGAAAGAAGGAAAGAAAGAAAGAAGGAAAGAAAGAAAGAAGGAAAGAAAGAAAGAAAGAAAGAAAGAGGAGGGAGAGAAGGAAGGAGGGAGGGAGAGGGACAGGAAGGAAAGAGAGAGAGGGAAGGAGGGAAAAAAGAGAGAGATGGAGAGAGAGAGAGCACAAATCTGCCTGTTATATAGACTTCAGGAACTAAAGTTCTAAGATTTAAAACCTATCTTTCCTAAGTGGCATCTCAATCTTAACAATGGAATTCCGCCAGCTGGGAGAAAACAACCCAGAACCACTCAGCTCTTTCACGCCTTGAGGACACTAAGAAGGGCCCTTTCTGGGCTGCTTTTGACTTTCTTCCCACTACCCTCCACATAGGATCCTTCTCTGTGTGATCGACAGCCACATGCCAAAGCTAGTACTTAAAGAATGTTTCATTGCTAGAAGTTAACAGATAATAATAATAATGATTATAATTATTCTCATCTTACATCATTATTTCTGAATGATAAAACTATCCTCTGAAAAAATATTTTAGAAACTAGGCACCTTTTAGATTTCCACCTATGCATAAAGACTAATTGTGTTTGGTCAGCTAAGAAAGATGGGGAAAGAATGGCTTCAGATGAAGGGGAAATGATTTGAATATTTCCATGTGGGAACCATAAGAGAGTAAGTACTGCAGTTCTGACTCCAAAGCCATGGTTACAGGAAAGGCTATATGCATTAAGGGAAAATAACAATTGGCCCTAGAGTCAGAAAACACAGATTTAAGTTCTGGCTCTAACACTGATGCATTTGTATGATCACTTCTTCAACAAATATTTATCAAGTGTCTACTGTATGACAGCCCCCATGCTAGGCATTATGAGCATAAAGAAGAAAAGGAAAAACTCCCTGGTGAGTTATTTTACATCTTGGTATAGGGGAAAGAGCAATCTAAGGACCTGGGTTTAAATTCTGACTCTTCTTCCAACTATGTAACCTTGGCATGGCAAATCACGGAATCTCTGTGGAATTCAGCCTCTCACCAGTAAAATGAGAGCTTGGCCTAGTTAGCCTCTGGATCCAGCTCTAGGTCAGCAAGCCTCCATTTCCTCATCTGCAAAATGGGGATGGTAGGGGCAGCTAGGTGGTGCAGTGGACAGAGCACCGGCCCTGAAGTCGGGAGGTCCTGAGTTCAAATGCGGCCTCAGACCAAACACTTGTCACTTACTAGCTGTGTGACCCTGGGCAAGTCACTTAACCCCAATTGCCTAAAAACAAAACAAAATGGGGATGATACTATGAATGCTATCTACTGGGGTTTCTAAGACTTAAAATGTCCTAGGCTTATGTGGGATTTGGGGAAAGAACCTTGTTCCTTGTTAAATCCATTTCCTGAAACAGGATCAAGACCTAGAACTGGAAGGGACATCAGAGGCAGTGGAGGTCAAATCTCTCATTTGAGAGAGGAGGAGGTTGAGGCTGGAGGAGGAGGCTGAGGCCAGAGGAGGAGGCTGAGGCTGGAGGAGGAAGTACCTGCCGTGGCCATGCCAGTCAGAAGGGTCAGAGTTGGGATTTCAGCCTAAGCCTGGAACTCCACACAGAAGCACATTAAGGTCTTCTCCACTCTCCTTTAAGCCATGGAACCACTCTGCAGCTCAGGCAGCTGCTTAGTATTGATCTACTGAGTCCCTGGGAGGGTCTTCCATGGACAGAGTTCTCCACACTGGTGAATCACAGGGCTCTTCAGATAGTCTAGAACACTCTCTGTGTCTCTCCCTCTGTCTCTGTCTCTGTCTCCCTCTCTTTCCCCATGCATAGACCCATAATCCATATGAATTTATCTAAATATACATACACACACAAAATATTATACATGTACCCACACTCTCCACACATATGTACAATATATATACGTATATATACACATGTTTACACATACATGTATGTATTAGGGTACTATAAGTCACAAATTTTGATTTCAATTGTACCTTCTCTCTCCTAACAAAGCTAAAGAGTTTTAAAGCTTTAGCAATGGAAGAAATCTTGGACACCATTTAATCCAATTCTCTCATTTTACAGATTCGGAGACTGAGGCACAGAGGGGGGGAAGGAACTGACCCAAGGTCCCTGGGAGGCCGGGAGGCACTCTTTCCACTTGAGGCACACCGTGTCTCCCCGTGGGAGAGCAGGGTTCAGAATCACCAACTCTGGGCGGACTTTAGTGCTGGGAATCTAGGGCCCCCTACCCCACACTTGCTATTCAATTGTTCTGTGACAAAGGGTCTCTGTTCACAAAGCAAAGCTAACATCTGTTCTAATTTGGGGGGATGTCTTGAGGATTCCTTGGGATGCAGAGAATTTCTGCACATCTGGACATTCTCTTCCTACAAGAGGAAGCGCATTAAGAGCAAATAAGTAAGGAAAAATCAGGGCTACCAGATGCATGGAGCGACTGACCTGGATCTGTAGGCTGGGGATGCATGAGGCGGAACGGTAAGTCGGTGCACACTTCGCTGTAAGAAAAGGAGAGGACTGGGGTCAATGCGCCAACACGGATACGTATTTAACAGACATACATATCTATCATATGAAGTTCACTCAGAATGAAGGTTAAAGAAAAATTGGGTGAGACATCAACACAAAATCTGTCAGTGGTCAAGTTCAAAAGGACAAAAGACTTTGGCCTCCTACAGCGGAGCCCAGGGGCTGTGATGCTCCTGGTCATCAGTGTCATCTACACAGCGAAATCTTTGTGGGAGAGGAGTCCTCTTTTCTTCCTCATAAACTAATCTGGCTATGGCATAGAAACAGAATGTAATATCACCGCGCTCTAGAAGACAGTAAAGGTGAAAACTTTAGAGAAACACGGGAGGACGTGGATGAAGTGATACCGAGTAAAGAAACGAGGGTCAGAAGACAATGCAGCGTAAATGAAGAAGCTAATAGAGAACAAAACCTGGGTCAAACCAAGAAGAGAATATTGGTATTCTAGTACAGCTTTGTAACCCTAGTTCAGTTAGCCCCTTTCACGGAGACTTTGAGGGAGAGAGAGAGAGAGAGAGAGAGAATAGAATCTTGGGTGCTATACTTAAAGTGTCATGGCTGGAGACAAACTGAGGCACAGAGAGAAAGGATTAAATGAACTTTCTGAGAGACTGAGTAACTGAAAGTCTGAGGAGATACTGTGAGAGAAATATTTTGTAAAGAGACATGAATAGAATTTTTAAGAGAATCGAATTACCATCCTGAGAGAACTGTTTTTCTAGAGTTGAGGAAGAGTTAGTGGCTGCATTGGTGAGAATATTCTATTCCACATCTCTCCTGTAGAGAAGTGACTCAAGCTATGAACTTTACTCACTGTAATTAATTGTAAATAATTGTTTTTGTTTTATTATTTGCTAGTTATTATTTGCTACTATAATAAACTGCATGAGCTACAACACTGATGTTGTTTAAGCCTATAAAATGGGGTTTGGGAGAGGGTTTGAGTTTGAAATAGAGAGGAATGAAAGCTTAGGGTAAAAAGTTTCTCTGGTTTATAAACTAAGGGCTCAGAGCTAATTTGTTACTTAATGAGACTATATTTCTGTTTATTTATTAGGTAACATCAGAACATCTCCTGATCGCCTTTAGATCCGAAGGAGAGAATTAACAAGGAAATGAGCCAGTAGCAGTTGGAAAGAAGTAAGGTTGGTATAGTTTTCAGCTACAGTAAGAAAACACAGCCCGTCCAATCCCACCTAGGCTTGATGTGGGGTGTCATCCTATATAAAATTTGCTACATTTGGAGATGTACTACCTAGGCCTGCTACACTATCAAAGTTAAAGTATACTTCCTGTTTACTGGCAACTGATACAGTACAAAAGGGGAAAGTGATGGGTTCCACCAGTGGCATTGATGCTGTTAGAAGGAGCTTTACTTAAATGATTTTGCAGAACATGCTTTTTAGGGGCCATTGTGTGGGTGTGTTGTTGGGATGGGTTTATTGTGTCAAAATTAAATGTATCAATTAAAAAAATAGCAATCTGAAAGACTGGTGAACAAGAGTGAATGGGATCTTGTATTAGTACAGACCTGTAAAGAATTTATTATGATAGCCTGAGGTTCAGAGAAGGAAGAGGAGTCAGGAAAGAAAGCAGGGAGAAAAGGACAAATGGAGAATAAAGACAGGACAAAGAGAGGAAAGATGAGAGAACGAACGATTTTCTGAGCTCATGACATACACAAATCCTTTTGTCTTATGACCTCTCAGGTCAAAATATTGCTGTTTCTTCCAGAATCATTCCTCATCTCTAATTGCCTGAGAACCTTTTCCCCTCTCAACACAAAACTCAGTGCCTCATATCCCCAGGAACCAAATCCAATGAGCAAATAAACTTATTGAGTTCCTACTATCACAAAATGAACTGTGCTTGACAGAAAATTGGCCTCAGGCATGTCCCTACTCCTAAACCCTGTCTCATTTATTAATCAATAAGCACTTATTAAACACCTACTATGTGCCAGTCATTTTGCTAGGTTCTGAGGGTACAGGCAAAACAAAACAGCCCTTGCCCTCAAGGAGTCTAATTTGGGGATATAGTTTCCAAGGGAGTGTCAAGATAGGCTTCCTGGCAGGAGGTGGTCCCTGAGCTCAGCTTTGAGTGAAGCTGGAGATTCCATGAGGCTGAAGTGAGATGGGAATGGGGACCCAAAGCCTGGAGATGCAATACTGCGTATGGGCACAGCAAGGTGGTCAGTTTGGCTGGAGCACTGAGGACATGAAGGAGAGAAATGGGCAGTAAGGCTGGAAAGGTCAGTGCAGCCGGACGTGAACAGCTTTAATATTCAAACAAAGGAGCCCCTTGAGCAAGGGACTGAGGTGCTTCAGGACTGTCACTCTGGCAGCTGTGCCTAGGACCACTGGAGACCAAAGAGACTGGAAGAATGGGGGCAGGGGACTCATTGGGAGGCAACTGAAATTGTCTACGGCAGAAGTGACGGGGCTTGTCCCAAGTGGTGGTTGTGCGAATGGAAAGAAAAGGACAGACCAGAAAGGTGACCAAAGTAGATTTGACAAGATTTGTAAACAGACGGGATGTGGGGTCGGGGGACGTGGGGAGGGTTAAGGATGATTCCAATATTGTGACCCGGGGACTGGAAGTTTGGAAGAGGGGAGCATTTGGGGCTGCAAGATGAGTTCTACTCCAGACATGATGAGCTGGAGATGCTTAGGAGACATCGAATGTGAAACGGCCAGTGGGCAACAGGAGTTTAGGAGAGAGACTCTGGCTGAGAGTTATCTACAGAGAGAGAAGAGCTGCATTCATGAAAGCAGATGAGAAAAAGAAAGGGAGAGGGGGAGGAGAGAGAAAGAGAGAGAGGGAAAGAGAGGGAGGGAGCCAGAGAGAGAGAGGGAGGGAGGGAGAGAGGGAGGGAGAGAGAGAGAAAGGACTTATTTTAATAATGAGGATGACAATGGAAGAAAGTAGATGAACTTACCTAGAGGTGAGGTCTCCCAGAAAGCTAGGAAACACAAAAAACAGAAAGGCGTTAAACCACAGAGCTCCACACAATTCAGTTATTAATGGAGGTTCTCAACACCATGGCCAACTTCAGGAACTTTCTCCCCCTAGTTCATCTCAGCTCTGCGACCCCACCACCCGTGTACGACTTCATTCTCCTGACTCAAAAGGACTAGGTAAGAACTGAAAATCACTGCAGTTCAGGAACACGAGAGAACCAGATGAAACCAGAGGATCAGTCTGGTCCTGGGAGAGTGTTCTGGATCTGGGGCAGGGCCCCACCTTGGCTCGTGACTTTGCCTCTTCCTGCCAGTGTGACCCTGGATGTTTATCCCAGAAGTCGGGCACCAGCGTCTTCCTCTGTCAAGGGGGATGGTTGGATATGATGGCTTCTGAAGGCCCTTTCTAGCTGAGATCGATGATCTGATGATCAGACTGTCTGTCTCTCCAGGGTGCCAGGAGATGTTGACACCCGTCAGTTATTTGTTGCCTGTCCTTTGAACTCAAATCAAATCATATGGGGAAAAAATGAGAGCGCTTCCCATTTTAAGAAGTATTGCTAATGGGAACAATGTGTGGATGGAACCTATCTAGAATGAGTGGAAATATTCCTTCCTACCTAGGATTTTAGCGCAGGGAATGAACCTAGAAGTACAAACATCTCCCTTTACCTGAAGACAGTGCTGTTGCTGACTTGGTCATGGCCACCTCGGGAGTCAGTGGCTCAGGTCTGTACATCAGTCTGATTTCTAGACTGTGCCCCCTTGGGGCAGGGTCCTGAGCCAGGCCTGAGGGCAGCTCCCAAGGCTGGGAGGCTCAACCTTTGGGTGATGGGAAGTGAAAAGGAGCCGGAACTCTGACCAAGCTCTCTTCTGGAGAGTCACAAGGGGAGAATCTGATTTTCCAGATGAGAGAATTTGTTTGGAACTCTGAGATGCCTGGATACTTTCCAGAAAAACACAACACTTATCCACTCCTCTAAGCACAGTTGACCCAGGGAACAATACAGCAGAGACCTGGAGAGCTGAGGATCATGTGCCAGGCCAACCAGACTCCTGGGTCATGGTTTTTCCCTTTAACCCCCTTCATTCCCAACCTAGAGACTAATGTAGCCAAATGAATGAAAAACTGAGGAGGTCTCAGATGGACATGAAAAAAGTGCTTCTTTGGGACCGTTTTGGGAAGTAATGAGTAGGGAGCATTCTCCTTAGCTCCTTGCTCCTCTTAGATCTGTAACTAGGGTAGGACGACGGGGGCTTTGTCCTAGGGTGCTGCCATGAGAAGACACGTTTCCTCCTGTACCTGTACCTTACAACTTACGGTCCTCCACCAGCCTGCACTGTGTACTCTTATTCTCTCTGGGACACTATCCTCTTTTTGGGGACCCTCCTTTTCCCCAAGCCCCCCCAAAACACAGGCAGACTCTCTAAGACATGAGGTCCTCCTCTAAGACGTGTTGGTCCCCTCTAGACTGCCTCTCCCTCTTGTTCCTGCTGCCTTTCACTTCTTTTTGGCCCAGGTGAAAGAATTCTTATTCAATTGGATAGGCCTAAGGACAGGTGAATAGCTCAGAAGAGCCTTGAAGGCCTTTTCCCCTTCCCTACAAACACAATGGAGATGATCCCCTTCATCTTAGGATACTTACCCAGAGACGGTGAGCTTCACTTTGATCTGATAAGCCACCAGGATTCCCAGCACTGTTCTGTCTATACCCTCCTTAATGCTGCCCAAGAAGAGAAAAAGAGGTGAGGGTGATGGTCTGGAAAAGGGGCATTTAGGGGCCTGGTGACAAGCAAACAAATAGTCCTTTCTTTGTCATTTTATATGAGAAGTCACAATAAGAAATACCCTCTTGAGACACTGGAGAACTAAGCCAGAGAACTAGGAATCCGAGAACTTAATACCAACTGTGGGGGGAAATTCACCTCACTTCCTGGTGACCTCCCAGTGTGGAAACTCCTTCCTTTCACTGAGACCTCACCTGTAACTTTGAGCATCATGGGGGCACTGGTCCCTGACGTGACTCCCCCCCCCCCCCCCCCCGGGTCATAAAGCCAAGAAGTGTCTAAGGCTTGACTGGAAACCAAATCTTCCTAATTCCGAGGCTGGTTCTTCATTCACAGCCCTCCCTGCCTCTAACTAATTGTTCTTGTTAATTAATTGGCAAGTTTAGTCGTTTCTACGTGGCAGTAGTGTTAATGTTGTCGCAGGCCTCTAAACTTCAGGGCCAAAGCCCCGTCGCGGCGCGTGGTGAATCCTTGTCTCTGTTTGCTTTTGCATGTTGTGAACCTCATCTGTTCCGCTGATTGACTTCTCTGTTTTTTAACCAGTATCAAATTGTTCTGAGAATTATTGCTTTGTAGTCTAGATTAAGATCCGGTACTGGTGGGCCCCTTTCGTTCTACTGCTTTTAATTATGACCCTTAAGATTCTTAAACTTTTTTGCCTCTGTAGGAATTTTATTATTATTTTTCTAGTTCTATAAATTAATCCCTAGGTAGTTTGGTATGGAATTGAATAAGTAAATTAATTTAGGTAGAGTATTGTAATTTTTATTATATTTACTTGTCTTACCCATGAACAATGCATATTTCTCCAATTATTTAGGTCTGTCTGTATTTCTATAAACAGTGGTTTGGAGTTGTATTTACATAATTCTTGTGTTTATCTTGGTAGTTAGATTCTCAGGTATTTTATACATTTTATAGTTATTTGAAATGGCTATGACCCCATCCTACAGCATCCCTCACCTTGTTGTGGGGGGAGGGGAGTAAGGGGAAGTTACTTAGTCTTAGAAGTCTTAGAAGAAGCTGCTTCTGCTCCTGAGGAGATCAGCCAGCTTAAGTCACACATATGGTACTACTACTATTATTAATATAATAACACCAGCTAGTATTTATAGAATGCTTTAAGGTTTACAAAGTGCTTTACAAACATTATCTCATTTTCTTTTCACAACAACCTTGGGAGGTAGGTGTTCTTATTATCCCCATTTTGCAGGTGAACAAACGGGCATATATTGGTTAAGTGATTTGTCCAGGGTCACCCAGCTAGTGAGTGTCTGAGGCCAGATCCAAACTCAGGTCTTCCTGACTCAAGGCCCAGGTATCTGTGCACTATTGAACCACCTGGTGAAACCAAGTGTGGGATTACAGGCTATCACCGAGTTTTAAATTCCAGGTTTTGGCTGGAGTGGTGGGGAGAAGTACAGCCTAAAATTTATAGCAATGGGGTCTTCCATTTACCCACTGACAGATGGATTTCCATGAAAATTAATTAGACTTCAAGGGACAAGAAAGTTGAAGCAAATCGCATTTCCCTGTCCTGATTCATAATCAGTTAGCTTTTCCCACGCCTCTGGCTCGGCTCTGGCCTTGAGGCCCACACTCACTTTCCTTTGGACTGAACTCCCAGGTGTGTCCTTAACCTCCTCACACCTCCCTTTCACCCCCAGCTAGTGCATCTATTTGTTCCTGTCTGGGGCTGCCCAACAGCATAAGGAGACAGGGTTCTCGTAAGCGCCATCCCCGGTCAGGCCATCTAGTGACTTCGTTCTCTTCCAGCCGCACAGGCATCCAGGGCTCTCAGCTCCCTGTAGCCACCGTGAAGATGGTCCAAGCAAACTCATCCCCACCCCTGAAATGAGAGCTCCAGGTCCAAGGGAGTCGGATCTCCACGGACAAAGGTTACGGTCACAGAAAAGGTCCTCCCTACTGAACGCCTGCGAATAGAAAGATGGCAGGCAGCATAGCTTAATGGAGAGCACTAGACCTCAGGTCTGGACACCTCCTGGCTGTGTGATGTTGGCGTGGTCACTTAAGCTCTCTGGGCCTCTGTTCCTTCATCTATAAAATATGGGGGTGGGGGGGAGGCTGGCTAGGTGGCCTCCAAGATCCCTTCCTATGACCTCTCTGGGCCTCAGTTTTTCCATCTATAAAATGGCCTGGATAGCCTCTAGTTGTCCTTCCAGCTCGTGAGCAAACACCCCCAATAGTGTTGGCTATTGTTGTTGCTATCTGTGACAGCGTTGGCTGGTGTCGCCTCAAAGAACTCACATGGTGCTGGAAGCCAAGTTTGTATCTTCGTGCTTGATTTTGCCATCCAGGGCAATGCCCCGCCTTTCTCGATTATTAGCGAGCAAGGGGGTAAGCGTCAATGTCTTTGTTAAGGTTCCGTTTGGTGGCACTTTTTCACTAGAGAGGAAAAAAAAATCAAAACTCATCAGAATTGCAAATTAGAAGCCCCAAAGCCCCAACTGATCTACTAGGAAAATTAAACCCAGACTCAGCTATCTCCTTTTATGGGTAGGCATTCCTTTTTCCAGATGGCCAAATTTCCTGGGGAAGCCCAGGAAAAAAAAAAACAATAACAACCACACCCCCCAGTAGAGATGCTTGAGAAGTCTCCCATAGAAAAACCAAGAATCTAATTAGGTAAAATGTAAACTAGGCCAGTCACAAAACCAAGACACTCGGTGAAGGGGACTAACATACTTGAAGTCACAGCCTGATTTGCTGACATTTAACAGAAACCTTGGACTGAGTTTGGACTAACAGGTGATAGAAACAGTGGAGACAGTGGCGCTCAAGCCAGGGGGCCTGGGTTCAAATCCAGGCTCTCTCTCTTGGTCACCACTATGACTGAGGCAAACCTCTTGGGGCCTCAGTTCCTCATCTATCTTGTGAGGGGGTTGGCCTGATGGCCCTCAGAGGTCCCTTCCAGCTCTAAATCAATGACCCTATGAGCCTCCTCGCTAGAGGACACCACCCCGGCCTATGCCAGAGCCTCAATCTCTAGGCTAAGAGGGAGAGTCAAATAAGAACCTGATGGCTCTGATGGGGATTGGGGTCTGCTTGGGACTTATGCAGTCCCATGGAGAGGAGGTTCTATATGTCTGAAATGCAAGAGTTGAACGTTTAAACATGTGCTGTGAACTTTTATTTAGGTCTGTGTTTTATGTGGTATCATAGCATGAAGTGGCCATTTTGAAAATAAGTTGTAATGCAATGTAAGTAATGTAAAACATTAGTTTTACAAATCAGTTTGTATTTCCTGATGCTCTCGCCCACCCGCAGTCCGTGGTGCTGCCATGCTTGGTAACTGACTAGACAAAGCCGCCAGACCTCGAGTGTGCAAAGAAGGAACATGGAGCCAGAAATCCAAACCTCAAAGAAGCCTGTGAAAGAAGGGGGCTATGGGATTCCTTGCACCAAGCGTCATCTGCCCCAACAGTGGGGAAACAGGCCTTGCTTCACTTTTTCTCTGTAACCCTGGTGACCAGCACAGGGCCTGGATAGAGGTCAATGTTCCATAAGCACCCCCTCCCCATCGAACGTAGCCTCCTGGAGAGCAGGGCCCTGGGTTGGGTGCTGGTGGTAGGGTCTGGACCTTCCCTGAAGTCCTCATCATGACAAGGAGGTGACCCTGAGTTCTCAACAGCTGTACAGGTAGAGTGGAAGCCCTGGCTGGTCCTTCCAAGATGGAAAGGCTCCAAGGTGGGGCTGACAAAGGAGTAGCCCAGGTAGGCATGGAGAGACTCTGCACCAGAATGCTATGTCTCATCTCTCACCTCCATGCCTTTGCACAATGCACACTTTCCTCATCACCACCTTTTACACCGTAGAATCCCTAGTCTTCTTCCAAGCCAACTACCAGCATCTTCTCCCCTTCCTTAAATGAAATTACTTTTATTTACTCTGTCTTTGTTTTGTTTCAGCTTATATGGGTCCCTGTTGTCTCTATTAAGATGTAAGCTCCTGAGGACAGGCCTGTTTCTCTTTTGTCTTCCTGTCACCAGCACCCAATCCATGGCCCAGCACACACAGAAAGTGCTTAATAAAAGACCTGTTGACCACAGAATGGTCACATCGATCATCTTTGGTCCAATTGGTCAATTGACAGGCATTTACTAAGCCCCTGCTATACTCATGCTACTCCGGAGATACCAAAATAAAAATGAAGCAATCCCTGCTCTCCAGGAGGCTACATTCGATGGGGAGGGGGCGCTTATGGAGCATCGACCTCTATCCAGGCACTGTGCTGGTCACTAGAGTTACAGAGAAAAGGTGAAACAAGGCCTGTTTCCCCTCTGTTGGGGCAGATGACGAGGGTACACAAGCCCAGGCAACATTGGCCCATCTTTGGGGGGCAGGGCAGGGCAGCAGCAGCCACTGCCAGAATAGCCCTGAAGACGCCTGGATGGGCCCGGGCTAATCCGACGGGCCATTGCCGAGGGTCTGTGTGGACCCCGTGCGAGGCCAGCCCAGGCTATCTTGAGGCCTGACGGTGGCAAGGATGGCAGGGGGGCCACAGCCGATGGTGGATCCTCCCTGCTTCTCCTTCCTCACCCCCTGTCCTGCAGACTGGGCAAACTGAGTGAAATCAGAGCAAGATGCGCCTGGGCCTCTGGGAGGCCAGGAAGGAGGGGAGGGGGAGGGGAGGGCTACTCACTGGGCCTCCTCTGTGGCTACAGGTTTGACGTAGTAGTCACTCGAATACAGGACCACGTTGGCGACTTGTTCCACTGCAAAGAGAAGAGAAAGATGAGTTCTGACAGGAGTGATGGGAGCCCTTGAGCTCCTCCTTTGGAGGCTCATGGAAGCATCCTCCGGACAAACCCAGGAGCAGGCAGGAGGATGGGGGTGGGAGCGGGAGAGGAGACAGACTGCCTACTGTTCTCATGACATCCACACAGTCCGTAGATTCTAAGGCTGCTGGGTGGTGTAGTGGGTAGAGTGTTGGACTTGAAGTCAAGAAGACCTGCATTCAAATCCTGCTTCAGAGACTTGCTAGTTGTATGACCCTGGGCAAGTCACTTTAGTTATAGCAGCTTCAGTTTCCTCATCTGTAAATTGGGGATAGTAATAGCACCCACCGCCCAGGGACATGCTATATCAAGTTTACTATTATTATTATTATTATTAATTAATTAATAGTAGTAGTATTTGGTACATCAACATCTATTAAAGCATTCTAAATTTTTTGTGGAAAAATGGTTTGGTTTGGGATAATGAGTGGATTAGTTGAATTCTCAAGGATAATTCAGGGCCTCTATTTGTAATATGGAGATCTGTCAAATCTGGAGATTTTAATATAGAGATTTGTGTTGGTTTATGAAGGAGATGGAGCTTTTGGTGTGTAATCCTGGCCACCAGCTCGTCTCTTTCTAAGTGCGCAGTCATACTTTAAGATGCTGATGTTGAGCGTTCGATTTTGTGTTTTTCTGGGACGGCAGAGTCAACCACATTTAATCCCAGGGTCCTTGTCCAGCACAGTCCACCCCAAAAACTGACAGGGAAAGAGAGAAGCAAGGGCCTGGCGCTGGCCAAGGACGCCACAGGGGCGGTTTCCTCCTACCTAACACTTTAATCTTCTTCACGGTCTTCTCTGTGTTATTGGTCACACTCACGGTCACAGGAATTGGCTCGCCATGGAAATAGATCTGGAAAAGTGAGTGCACGGTGATTAACTCACTTCTTAACGTGACAGCCTTCCAACATGGCGGGGCCAGCTCCTCCAGGGACGGTCTGTGTGGCTGGAGCCCTGAGTTACAGGGAAGAGAGATCAAGGGTGACCCGTTCTTCCTGTTTGGTCCAGGGGAGGAGGCTTTCGCTGAGAGGGAGGCCAAGAATGGACGATCAGAGAGCAGGGAGACCGCGATGCTCTGTATGCCACCATTGTTTAACCAGTGAGGCTGGCTCGAGTTGTCACCTCAAGAGCTGACAGTTACTGACATGCCTCTCTGGGCATCACCTTCCTCCCCGAACCCTCTGATCAATAAAGCCGAGCTAAGGAACAGACCGGTCGGGGACAAGGCTTCTGGGGGCTCCTGCTCTTGTCCTCAGTAAGCATGGCCCTCTTCCCAAGAACCTTCCCAGGACGCCCACTCTGAAAAGCATGGCCCCCCACCTTTTATCAGTGACTTGGATAGAGGCCAAAATGGAACGTCCACGTTGGAATGGAGAGTGAGTACCCTGGACAACAGTCAGGATCCAAAACGTCCTGATGGACCAGAGCATTGGGCTGAATCTACCAGGATGAAATTCAATAAGCCTAAACATAAATTCTTACACTTGGGTCCAAAAAAAAACCAATTTATTTTCTGAATCCAAGTGTAAGAATTTACCTGTCACCCCACTGAATCTTCCCAGGTAGATGATGGGGGAGCTATGTTAGAGAACAGTTTGAGAGGACCTGGGGTGTTAGTGGCAGCAAGCTCCCTACAAGTTGGTACTATGACCCCCAAGAGCTAATGCAAACTTGGGCTGATTAGGAGAACCATAGATTCCAGGTACAGGGAGGTCACGGTCCCTCTGTCCCCCGTTCTGAAGCTAGTATCTGGAATTCAGTGTGAAGCATCACAGGTAAGAAGAGCATTGAGAATCAGGAGGGCAACCAGTACGGGGAAGGGGCTGGAGTCGATGTCACACAAGAATAGGCTGAAGGAGCTAGAGATGTTTAGTCTGGAAAGAAAGGACTTGCAAGCTGTTGGGGGTCAGAGGGAAAAGCATCTGGATGAAGGGCCATCCTGTGAACGGAGGCTGAGACGCGTCTCACATGGCTGTAGCACCGGGGGGTGGGAAAAGTGGATCTGGTCTGGATGAAGGGGAAAAGTGTGCTAACAACAAAAAGCATCCCAAATTGGGATGGGCTGCCTGGGGTGGGGTGGGGGGCGCCCTGCTCCCCTCCTCACTGCGTCTGCCCCTGGGCTTGGAGAAGCTGGGAGGACAGCATCCCTCTCCAGCAGGAAGACAGAATGGCCACTGGCCGCCCAAGGAATGAGCAGCCTCTGGGACTCCAACGGTGCAAGGCCGCCCACCCTTCACTGGAGGTCTTCAGAGGTTGGACTATCCGCGTGGGGAATGCTCCAAGGGGGGTTTTCAGGGCATGTGTTGGACTAAGTGCAGCCCCGGTCCCTTCCAAGTCTAGAAGGCTGGGGTTCTCTGACTCCTCCCAGACAGCCAGGGGCTCATTCCTAACTGGGATCCTCCTTGGAGAAAGGTCTCCTTTAAAGAAGGGAGCTGAGTCAGCAGCTGGGAGCGCGCTGTTTCTGCATTTTCAACTTTCTGTTGCTGAACTTGCCAAGTTCTCTAGTTTTTTTAAAGTGTTGTTTCTGGGTGAGCCCACCCCTGGTCTCCCGGAGGGTCTCTTCCTTGAGGCAAACTGCCTTCCTGAAGCCACAACTTCTTTTTGCTACGTGGGCATCCTCATGACATCGAGAGGAAATGAGGAAGGGCCACAGCAAATTGGGAGGCACGGGGTGGGCAGGCAGGGACAGGCAGTGATCTGCCAGGTTGGAAGGACAACCTCCTCCTCAGGGAGGAGATCCCTGCTCCCCCAGAGTTCTAGAGTGATTTCACAGTCTCAGAGCACCCAGGAGAGCATCTCAGATGTGCAGTGCCTGGAGGTATGTGCGTGGGGGAGGATGCCAAGAACAAAGACCCCTTTCCCCCACAGAGGTGCGCTCATTACCTCCTTGGTGAGAGAGATGGCCAGGTGCAGAGGCTTGTCGGACATGAAGAACTGCCAGGCTGTCTCCATTTGGGGCTGGGGTCCCATTTCAGGAGGGGCATGCTGGACTTTGCGGATCAGCAGGCGGACAGAGCTCCTACGTAAGCAGAGAAACTCAGGTTTCCTGGGATTACCTTCCCTGCCAACTCAGAGCTCCCAACTGGACCCTCATCCACCCTTCATCTTTGTTGGGGGCGATTCACCCCTTCCCCCACCTCAGTTTCCTCATCTGTAAAACGCTCCTATCTTTAGGCTAAGCCCCTTTTAGCTCTGAGTCAGGGACGCTGGAGGAGAAGCTGGATGGGGAAGGAGGAGGAGTGAAGGGATGTTGGAGGGAGGGGCTGGGAACCCCCATCTTACTTTTTGGGCACTCTTTCCTCCTCCGTGTCTGTGATGTCTGTGGCGTAGGCTTTCACCTCAAAGTCTACTCCGCAGCACTGAGAAGGATCAAAAGAGAAAGAGAGCGAGGGACCACTGTGAGTGCCTCATTTTTCGGCGTTTGAGGCTCAGAAAACCCAGGAAGCTTCTGCCTTATCTTGGAGAGGTTACCACATGGCCGGGTCCTGCTAAGAGCTAGGCCATGTTGTGGCAGCTAGGTGGCGTAGGGGATAGAGCACCGGCCCTGAAGGCAGGAGGACTTGAGTTCAAATCCAGCCTCAGACCAAACACTTGACACTACTAGCTGTGTGACCTTGGGCAAGTCACTTAACCCCGATTGCCTCACTAAAAAAAAAAAAAAAAAAAAGTTAGGCCATGTCATGTCACACCAGGATCTTCTGTGAGCGACTCACATTTAAAGGATAATCCAATAAATAACAAGTGATGAAAGGCTGTGCTGGAAGTTTCCATGCTACCTGGATGACCTTGGGCAAGTCACTAAACCAGGATGGAGCTCCTGGGGTCCCCTCCAGCTCTAGGCTGTGCCTCGGCCCTCCGGAGGGCCCACAATCTCAGACCCACCGCCCTGGGCTTGTTCCAGGCGGATTTAGCCCACAATCAAACTGGATTATGTGGCTGAACACGAACTCGGACTCAGCAAGACCCGAGTACAAATCCTGCCTCAGACACTTCCAGATGGACGACCTCTGAAATGCTCTTATTCTCAGTTTTCTCATCTGTAAAATGGGGATAATAAGAGGGTCCGCCTCTCAGATTTCTAAGACGATCAGAAGAGACAACATACATAGAATGTCATGAGCTTTAATAGCTTACAAACTCCACCCAGACTTTTGGGGTGCCCCGCACAAACGTGAGCTAACATTCTTACTATGGAGTTTGACCCTGGACATTTTCCTGGTAAAGCCCCTAAATCAGTGTCAGCTCCACGCCAGGCTGGGAGTGCCCACTTCCCGGGCAGGGGATTGGGGGCTCCGCGGCTCATTCCTCCTGGGGCCCGGCCCCACTCACCTTGCCCACGTCTTGAGGAGCCGGCTGAAGAGCCACTGAGCAGGGCAAGTAGTCAGGAAACTGAGGGAGAAGAGAGAAAGTCCTGAGGGCGGGATGTTTGGGAGGTGATGGATCGATCGATCCAACAGCAAGCCTTTATTAAGTGCCAACTGTGTGCCAGGCGCTCTGTTCTAAGGTGGCGATGCAGCGGCCACCCAGTGTTCCCAGAAATATTTGATTTGTTTTTTTAATTCATTATTTAATATTTAATTTCCCCCTCAATTACATGTAAAAACAATTCTAACTTTTTTTTTCAAATTTTGAATTCCAAATTCTCTTCCTCCTTCCCCTTCTCCCCTCATTGAGAAGGTATATACACGTGTAGTTACGCAAAACACATTTCCACGTAAGTCATTCTGTGAAAGAAAACACAGACCAAAAAATCCAAGAAAAATAAAGTAATGAAAAAGTATCTCTGATCTGCATTCAGACTCTTCCAGTTCTTTCTCTGGAGATAGACAGCACCCTTTATCCTAAGTCCTACAGAACTGTCTTAGATCATTGTATTGATGAGAACAGCTAAGTTATTCATTTCATCTTTAATTACTTTTTTCAATGAACAAAAATTGATTTTCCCCTCCCTCCTCTCTCCTTCCCTCTCCCTCATTGGAAAAAAATAGGAAAAATAAAACTCTTGCAATAAATATGAATGGTCTAGCCAACAAGTTCCTGCATCTGCACCCTGAGCCCATCACCCACTTCAGGGTGATGGGTGTGGGCCGCCTGCTTTACCCTCAGGCCTCCTGAATCATGGGGCAGCCGTGGAATTGATCAGAATTCTTACAGTTGGTTTTTACTTTGTTGTTATTTATTACATTGTTATTATTATTTCTATCAGAAATATTCTAATTCTTTATTATTTTACATGTCAGAAATATTACACATTTCTATTAGAAAGGATTGAATTTAAAAGACTGTAAAGATGTTATTTTGAGAGGCAGTATGATATAATGGGGGCTGCTAGACGGTACAGTGGATAAAGCACCAGGCCTGGAGTCGGAAAGATTCCTCTTCCTGAGTTCAAATTTGGCCTCAGACACTTATTAACTTATTAGTGTGACCCTGGGCAAATCACTTAACCCCATGTGCCTCAGTTTCCTCAACTATAAAATGAGCTGGAGAAGAAAATGGCAAACCGCTCCTGTATCTTTGGCAAGAAAACCCCAAATGGGGTCACGGAGAGTCAGATACAACTGAGAATAACTGCACAACAACAGCATGATATAGTGGTCTGAGAGCTGGCTTCAGAGTGGGGAAGACGAGCCTGGGGTGGCGGGTTTGAGCCCTGGTTGTGTGTGCAATTCTGTGTCAAGGTAAGCATAAGATGCAGTGAACCCTCGGGAACGTGGGCACTGGAAAGACTGAGCCGCAGGGCAGGGTGTTTCTTCACTGAAAGCTCCCTACTGTGATGGTTCCAATCCCCTCCCCCCTCAAAAGATATGCTTAGTTCCTGTTTCCCCTTTCCCGCCTCTTCCACGGGCCCGGCAGCTTTGGGCATCTGGGAATGGGACGCACAGGGAGGAGTGGGCCAGAGTCAGGGTGGGCACACTCACTGTGAGAAGAAAAGGGTAAGCGTTGATCCCCAGCTTCTTCAGCAGGCTGTCCTGCAGTTTGGTTGGTGCATTCCCTGTGTTGATGGGAGGGTACGCTTGCACCCTGGAGAAATACAGGTCTCTGCGGAAGGTCAGGCCGATGACATCGATGTCTTCCTGGCCGTAGCGGAACGCACACGTCAGAGACACAAAGACTGGGCAGAAGAAGATGGCAAGGTTAGCACCTTGTGAGCCCTCTGCTCACGCCCGTGACTCGGGGGGTGGGCTAGAGGGGAGACGTGTGTTCCACAAAGTCCAGGGTCCCCTGGGATTGAGAAGCAGACCCGCACTGTTGGCTTCAGTCAATGGATGCCCACCCCAACAACTGGTTTTCAAGGATGATGATGACTAGATTTACCTAAGCATCATATACCCCATGTCCTTCAGCCCAGGCTGATTCTTAAAAAGTTACAGATCCTATGTAAGAGCAGGAGCACATGACTTCAGAATGTCATACACATTTGGTTGGTTTCTATGTACCCCAGGACCTGCAATCTTTTAGCTCAGGTACATTCCCAAGGGAGCAGAGGAATTCTTCTGGGCTGTCATTAGTCTGGGAATAACAGATGTCATTGGCATTCCCCAACTGGAATTATGGGACTGAACAATTCAGGTCATCAGTCAGTCAATGAACATTTATTAAGCATTTGCTGTGTCAGGCACTGAGATAAACGCTCCAGAGAGCTCAAGACAGTCCCTGCCCTCAGGGAGCTTACATTCAAATGGGGGAGATCACAAGCAAACAGATGTGTGCTACAAGCTCCAAACCACATACCTAGGAAGTAAACAGGAGTGGGAAAGCGCTGGAATTTAGAGCGGTTGGGGAAGGCTTCCTGCAGAAGGGGAGACTTTAGGCGGGACTGAAAGGAAGCCAGGATGAGGAGGGAGAGCGCTCCAGGCGTGGGGGAGCTGGATGATTCAGCCTTGGTTCTGAGACTGCCGCTGTGATTTCTACCTGTGTGACCTCAGTCTCTGGGCTCAGTCTCCTCATCTCTACAAGGAGGATGTTGGACTGGACAGGCCCTGGGCCCCCTTCCAGCTCTGGCTCCTGCACTGTCATGGTCTCTCCTGAGCGTCTGAGAAGAGGACCCCGTCCTAGGATGGAGCTGGGTGTGATGAAAAGAAGGCTCTCCCCGCATCGGCCATCGGCCATTGGCCATTGTGGCTCCAGGGAGGCTTTTTAGCCCTGAGAGCATCGAGTGCAAGCCCAGAAGGGTCCTGAGGCCGTCAGTGCGAGCCATCGTCCATCCAGCTGCCAAACCGAGCACGGCCAAGGCTGGTCTGATCATGCCCCAGAGCCTTGTGGGGCTCCTGATGGCCTGCCCGTTTAGCTCTGGAAGCCCTCCCGGCCCCAGCATTCCTCTCCCGCATCGCTCTCCTCTGTACCCTCCCCACGACACACCAGCCTGCTTGCTGTCCCGTCTACACTTCTGCCTTTCACTCAGCCTGTGGCCCCCTGCGGGCCATCCCCACGCCTGGAAGGGGCTCCTTCCTCACTCTCCCTGGAGAATCTCTGGCTCAGACACCACTTCTTCCACGTGCCTTTCCTGGGCCCTCCCCCAATGACCTTGAAAGGCTTTTGTCTCTGCTCTGCATTTACTCTTATGTGGAAGGGACCTGAAGCTCTTTGAAGGAAGGGACCGTTTTGTTCCTGTCTCTGGATCTCCAGCACCTGCACCTCCCGGTGCTTCATAAACGCTTGTCTTTCAGACAGATTTCAGAATGTAAAAGCCTGCCTCACCTTTCTTCCCTTTCACGAGCTCAGGATCGACCAGGACGACGCCATCTGGACCAAAAGGAGAGAATCCCAGTGAGGAGGATGGAGACACTCAGACCAGCCAGCATCGCGGCACAAGGAGGGCCACCGGCCCAGGGTGCTTGTCCCCCTTGACTTACCCACGGGCTCCACCTGATCCACGTGGTCGATGTAGTCCCTCTTCCCCAGGTAGATGGTCACCTGTGGGAAGAACAGGAGGGGCCTGAGTGACCTTCACTAACCAGGTGACCACGGGAGAAGCGGCAGAAAGACTCCTCCCTGGGCTCTGCACTGACACCTGCGCGGCCTCGGACAGGTTGCTTCGCCACTCTGGGCCTGCTTCCCCAGAAGTGAGAGGACAGGGTGGGGCCGGGGGGTCTCTAGGGTCCATTCTGCGGCCTATGACATCAGCCTCCAGAGAAGCTCCCCCCTGCCCTGGGTCCCATGATGGGTCCCATGATGGGTCCCACCTGGAGGCATCCTGGATAAGCGGCTGACCCTGGGCTATGTTTACCCACAGTCTCCTTTCTGATGCCAGGACCACAGAACTGGAGCTGCAGGGGACCCTCGGGGCCATTTTAATAGGGAAAATCTGAGGTGGGGGAGGGGAAGGGGCTCATCCAGGGGAGCACAGGGGGAGTGACAGGGCCAGGAGTCAAACTCAGGTTCTCCAACTCCCCTCCACCTCCCAAAGCTTCATGTCTCTCTTCCTTCTCCTCCCTGGAAGCCTCCTCCCTCTTTCAAAGTGGAGAAGGCCCCGATATCCTCAGTACTCATCCCTTAAGCCACCTCTCATTAATTGAAGAATGATTTATTTCTCCTAAAAGATCTCAGTGGCTTGAGCCCGGGGACCTCTATTGTTGGGAGTCAGTTTGCTGGAGTGGACGGAGCCCTGGGCCTGGAGTCAGGAGATGAGGCGTGATTGGCTGTGTGACCTTGGGTCACCTTCACCTGTCCGGGCCTCAGAGGAGCTGAGCCCAGACGACTCCGAAGGCCACTGCCAGCTCGGACATTCCGTCGCTCTACCATTCACAGGCCCTCCCTCCACAAGCAAGGCGGGCTCTCAAAGACCCCAGGAACCCCAGGGTCATAGACTGGGAGCTGGAAGGCACTTTAGAGGCCTCTGAGTCCGTGCCTTCATATGACAAATGAGGAAACTGAGCCACAGAAGTTAAGTGACCTGCCCAGGATCATACAGCTATGTAAGGTAGGGTTTGAACCCGGGTCTTCAGTGGAAGAGACCCTCTCATTAACACTTTTCTCATTAACACTTCTTTTGTTACCTTTTATTTTTGCTTCTTTTCCCTCCCTGTCAAACCATCCCTCCCTAACAAAGAATCGAAAAGAATGTCACCTTTTTTTTTAGGGATAGTTCATTTTGTCTCTATCCCCAGCACCTAGCCCCATGCCTGGGACACTGTAGGCACTAATAAGTGCCTGCTCATTGACTGATTGGATGTATACCCAAGGAGACTGTCGATCCTTGGGCCAGGGGACAGCTTCATTGATGTCCACAGTAGGTGCCTACTGAGTGCAGAGCTGTATGATCCTGGGCAAGTCACTGAGCTCAGTGGCTCTGTTTCCTCATCTATCAAATGAAGGCGTCACTCAGGGGCCTCTAAAGTCCCGTCCAGCTCCAAATCTCCTCCTCCTCCTCCTCCTCTCCCCTTAGCCTTCCCTCTGCTCTGAGACTCTTGTTTCCAAGACATTCAATTCAACAAGCATTTATTAAGCACCCACTGTGTGCCATGCCCTGTGCTAGGCACCAGGGAGCACAGACATGAAGCAGTCTTTGACCTCACTGGGGGTGGCCAGGAACCACGCATACACAGAGAAGTCAAGAGAAAATGATTCTGGGCTGGACCTGGGGCTCCGTGGGACTGGTGAACTCCCCCTATGCAGAGGGCACCCACTTCACCACTAACAGAGCTGCAGAGATTTCCTGGGGCACAGAGAGCCAGGGCGTGTCAGAGGCGGGGCTTGAACTCAGGTCTTCCTGACCACAAGGCCACCCACCTCTCAAACACAAAATACACATGAGGTCATTTGGGGGAATAGATAGCAGAGGGATGGGGGAGCCCTGAGGCCCTAGTGGAGTCAGGAAAGGCCCTGGATGGGGGTGGCTCCAGGGCCTAGGGAGCTGGGGACCTGAGAGGAGGCAATGAGGACCGAGGAGTGCATTCCAGGCAGGTGGCACAGCCTGGGCAAAGGCAGGGGGCAAGCAACAGAGCGTGAGGGACAGCCTGCTTCCCATCTCCTCAGCAGGTGCTGCTTTCGGGCAGGGACCCCCCGGGCCCCAGGTCCTAGCCTCCTGTTTTCTTCTGCTCCCTCCCATCCTGGGAGGCTCCCCTCCGGCCTCTACCTCCTCCTCCCCCTCCCGGAGCCGCCGTGGCTCCAGTCTTGGGGCGTCTGGGCCGTGAGTCTTCTTGGTTTGTGACGCTTATTTATTTCCACCACTCATCTTGAAGCTCCCAGACAGCGCGGCTACCGACTCCTAGTCATCTTTGCCTCCTCCCCCTCCCAACCCAGGTCGCTGGAGCCTCGGGCCTCGCACACAGTAGGTGCTCGGCAGATGTCTGAGGCGATAATAAAGCAGCCTGGTCATTTATGCAGGGGCCCACCCAGTCGGTCCCTGAGCCACTCACCGACTTGTCCCGGGAGACCTTCTTGAAGATGACGTGGTTTGGGGCATTCTTCATGCCGGTTGCCATCTTAGAAGGGAGTCTGGGAGGCCTTCAGGTGCCAAAGATCCTTGGAAGGTGAGCAATGACTCTAAGTAAAGGTGCAGGGACAGGCCAGCCGAGGCGCCAAAGGCGAGCCAGAATCGTCAGATGGAATCAGGAAGACCTAGCTAGCTTCCAGGCTCATCCCTGCCCGATACTGGCTGTGGGACTGTGGACAAGCCACCCAACCTCTCAGTGCCCCAGCAACTCTCTGACATGCTAATGCTCACAGGCTCATTGGGTCAGAACTGGGTGGACATCAAATCTAACGCCTTCCTTTTACAGATGAGGAAAATGAGGCACACACAGAGAGGCACATTAAGGTCAGAGAAATAGTCAGGATCCAAGGCTGATTCAGTGAAGTAGCTGATCCACTCTGGTGGAGGCAATATCCACACTGGGAATTCCCAACACTAATGAAATTCAAGATAAAAACAACCAACAAAAAACTCCTCCCAAAAAACCCCCAAACTACCCTCAGCTTCTTTCTCTTTCTTCCTTCCTTTCTTCTTTCCTTCTCTTCTTTCTTTCTCTCTCAACAACTATGCATTTAATGAACAAAAATCTATTTTCTTTCTCTCTCAAATCCCCTCCCATTGGACAACAACAAAAAGAAAAAACCCTCATAACAAATATACACAGTAGTCAAGCAAAAGACATTCCCATGTTTATCCTAAGCTTCCAACGTAGCCAGGTAATAAAGTCTTTTATACAGTTTGATTTTTAGGCAGAATGTCCTTAAAAAGGAAAAAACAATCCCTTCTTTACTGGTGTGGCATAGTGGGTAACATTCTGAAGAGGGTGTTGGGAAGGTCTGAGTTCAAATACCACCTGTGACCCCAGCCGCGTGGCCATGAGCAAGTCCCACAACCTTGCTGAGACTGTTGGGATCTCGCTTGTTAGACCAGGAAATCACAAATCAGTATTGACCTATTTGCCTTTTCTTATAAAGCCTCAGCAAAACGGGCCTAATCGAGGTTCTAACAAGTGGCAGATTCAAATGAGGAAGACGTCCTTTTTGGATGGCCCCCTGCCTATGGCACGTTCATAACGACCCAGACTAGTATGGGAGAAGGCACTAGCCCAAGGTGCTCAAATGCAGTACGAATTTAAAATCCTGTTATACTCAGCCTTCTTGTGGATAATAAGTATGTTCTAGTGAACCAGAACCCATCTACCCCATGCAAGAAAGTCTTTCATTCAGAGCAGCTCCCAGCCCCCTTTCCTTCCCACTTTCAACGCTGCCTGTTCCCAACTCATTAGACCAGTGAGTTGTCTCCCAAACTTTTTTGGTGCTCCATACCATTAGTAAACCATGTTGGAGCACGCACCACCAATATGTGGATACTGACTTATTTAAATTAAATTATATTATTAAACCTATTGCACTAATAATTATTTAACATTATAAAACTCACATACAAGATAGAAATTGAAAAGGAATGAAATAGGGATGAAATCCTATTTGATTCCAGAGACAATAAAAAGGTTTAACAAGTAGGGAAAGTAGGGTCAGACCCATGACCATTTTCCCATGCTGAGTGGTGGCTCATATGCCTCTTGGGGTTAGGCTGTGGTCTCTTGGGTGGGCACAGCCCTGACTTTGGAGACCTCTGCACCAGCCCACAAAAGGGAACACAAACCTTTGCTTGGAGTAGCCAGGCTGGGTAACCTCACCTGAAGATCCCCCAGAAAAGCCAACCAGGAGGAAATAAAACCAAGGGGGGGGGTGGGATTTATTCAACAACTTTGACTTCCATTGGCCCCACTCAGATTTCTTGCTAGACCAGTAACATCTATTTAAAGACTGATTTACTGTATCTTGGTTTTTACCTGGAGTTCTGCTGGGCCAGTAATGGCGCTATGGAGACTCGAGGACTCCGGTTCCGTCTCTTTCCAAGTAAGCTAGTGCCGTTCAGGTAGGACAATGTACATGGGGGCCCTTTCCCTGAAATGGATGAGAGTGAACCCCCCCAAAGGATGAAGAGGGGAATTTGTAGCAGATTTGGATGGGCTGTTGCTGTTTAAGAGATAATCCCATGCACAGAACAGAGCACAGGACCTGGATTAGCCCCTGAATCAGCAAACTGGACGCATCAGCAGTTCTGGGCATTAACCAAGGAAGCTGGTCTTCTTCCTCAGCTCCGTCTCCTCAGGCTCGGCTCCAAGGCCAGCGCAGGAGGGTGAGCAGGCAGGTGGGGGTGGGGCTGGAATGTGTGGAAATGAAAACTGTTTTTCTCCGTTAAACCCCTTTGGTTTCTAGAAATAGATTGGATTCGCTTTCCTCAGGAAGCACCAGTAAGACAAAAGGCTTGAAAATCTTAGGCTTAATTTAGCTGAACTAACACTTAATGGCCGCTTGAGGTCACAAATTTTAATAAAAAGGTCAGGAGCCCTGCTGGCTCCACGGGCATCTTAGCAGCAATAATTAGCTTGTTGCCCTCCTAGCCATTGTCGAATTCACTTAAGAGCCTTACCCAGGTATCTGCCAGAGATGGACGATCTTGGGCACCGAGGCCGGGCTTCCAGGGATTCCTGTGGTCGGTCTGAGTAGGTAGTGTTCGTTATCACAGAGTGCAACCTTAAACGGGGAAGAGGCAAGGGTTCACACTGACCTGAAGAAAAATCAATTTTAAAAATTCCATATTGAGAGTAGAATTAAAAAAAAGGCTACATGAAACCACAAGTCTCTAAGAAGAGCTTACTTCTTCTTCTTCTTCTTCTTTTTTCTACAAAGTATAGGATTCAACATGTTCAAAGCTATCCATCAACTGGGTCTGTTTCCTTCTGTTCTCTTCAGTGCATTTAAAAAATGCAATGATTCCCTTCCTTTCTCTTTCCCTCTCCCTTTCCCTCCCTTTCTTTTTTCTTTCTTTCTTTTTTTTTTTTTGTAGGCAATAGGGTTAAGTGACTTGCCCAGGGTCACACAGCTAGTAAATGTCAAGTGTCTGAGGCCAGATTTGAACTCAGGTCCTCCTGACTCCACTGATCCACTGCACCATCTAGCTATCCCATTTTCTTTCTTTGTTGCAACACTATCACTCACTTTCCCCTTCCCCCCAAACATGACCTCTAACTTATGGAAAAAAGAGAAAAAAACCAATAAGCGTGGCTAAGAAAAACAAATCCACGGATTGGCCATATCAGAAAGTGATCTCATGCTGCACCTTGAGTCCATTACCTTTGGTGAGGAGGCGGCATCAGTGCTTCATGAGGGCAGGTAGATGGCACCATAGTGCATAGAGTGCCAGGCCCGGATACGGAAGACTTCCCAAGTTCAAATCTGGCCTCAGACACTTAATAGCTGTTTGACCCCGGGCAAGTCATTTCACCCTGTTTGCCTCAGTTTCTCATCTATAACATGAGCTAGAGAAGGAAATGGCAAACTACTCCAGTAGCTTTGCCAAGAAAATCCCAAATGGGGTCATGAAGAGTCAGACATGACTGAAAAGTGACTAACCAGCAAAAATCATGCTTCATCATGGGTGCTGTGAAATGGTCAGTCCTCATGCTGATCTGAGTTCTTAGATCTTTTCAAATTGTTTTGCTTTGCGATGCTGTGGTTACTGTATTAACTGTTCTCTTGGTCCTGTTCATTTCATTTGGTATCAGTTTCACTTCAGTCTTCTCTGGTTCTTGTCATTTCTTATGACCCCATAATCTCTTATATTTACATACTATAATTTTTTCAGCTACTCCCTTCATTTCTAGTGCTTTGTCCTATCGCTAAGAGTTGCTATAAATATTTTTGTGCACATGGATCCTTTGTAATGTCACTGACCTCTTTGGGTACACACCTAGCTGTGGTCAGTGGGTATGGACGGTGCAGTGTTTTTGGATATGGTCCCAAACTACAGCCTAGGGTGGCTGGACCAAGTTAGATCTCCAACAGTTGAGTCTTTCTGCCTTCTCACGGCCGCTCCAATAATTGTCATTTCCCATGACCATCATTCTCGTCAATCTGATGAGTAAGATGTGGAACTTCAACTTGTTTTAATTTGCATTTAATTATTAGCAGTTTAGAGCATACTTTAATAAGGCTGTTGATAACTTGGATTTCTTCCTTTGAGAACTACCTGATCATACATCTTGATTATTTATCAATCAGGGAATGGCTATAATTCTTACATATTTGAATCAGTTATATATCTTGGATAGCAGACTTTTATCTGAAAAATTTGTTGTAAAGACCCTCCTCCCCTCCCCCACCCCCTTAACTATTTCTCTTCTAATTTTAACTGCATTTTGCTTCTGAAAACTTTTCAATTTTATATAATCATAATTGTCCATTTTATCTTCTACAATCCTCTCTTTGTCTTACTTGGTCATAAACTCTTCCTACATTCATATTTATTCATTGCACCTCTGTTTGTGAAATGACTTTTTTTTAACCTGGTTATATATCCATCTGCAACTTATTGTATATGGTGTGAGATGTTTGCCTACACCTGATTTCTACCGGACTGCTTTCCAGTGTTCTCAGGAGTTTCTGTTGAATCATAAGTCCATATCCCTATTGTTGGGATCTTTGGGTTTCTTGAAAACTATGCTCCTATGTTTATTTTTTTTTCCTGTATGTTGCACACCTAATCTGTTGTGCTGATGGGCTTCTCTCTTTTTTAACCAGCACCAAAATAGTTTTTATTGATTACTACTTTATAGGGTAGTTTGAGGTCAGGCACTGTTAGACCCCCTTCCTTCCCATGTTTTTTCATTATTTCTCTTGAGAATCTTGACCTTTTGCTCCTCCAGATTAATTTCATAACTTTTTTGATTCTAGCCCTCTAAAGCAATCCATTGGTCATTTGATTGGTGCAGCACTAAATAAGTAAATTAATATTGGTAGCAATGCCATTTGTATTATACTGGTATGGCCTAGCTATGGGTGATTACTATCTCTCCACTTATTTCTGTAAAGAGTTTTGTAGTTGTATTTATACAGTTCCTGTGTATTTTGGTTAAGGTGGACTCTTAAATAGAATATACATTTCTGTAGTTACTTGAATGGAATTTCTTCATGTAGTCCTCTTGGGTTTTATGGCAATAAATAGAAAGGCGGATGCTTTGTCTGGTTTTATTTTGTATCTTGCTGCACTGAAGTTATTTCAATTAACTGAAAAATAAAAACTTTAAGAGGGAGAGCAATGGTCAGTATTATTCTTAGATTCCTGAATCAAATGATCATGTCTAAGTTCCCATTCCAATTAAGTTGGGAGAAAGAGATAAAGCCCTTGGATGGCTGCTGATGGTGTAGGGGCGGTGGCTCCACCACCTGCTGGCTTTTCATGTCTTCTGGGAGAGGGATGGCATTTGGTGAGGAAACAGGCAGAAGCATCCATGCGTTGCTTACCTATGCATTTGCTTACCACAAATAAGATTCCATCTCTTGCCTCCATGCCTGGAATGCATTTTCTTCCAGATGTCTATTTTCCTTCAAAGATTCGCTCAAATACCATCTCCCACAAGCAGCTTTGCCTGCTCCCCTTCCTTTTCCCACTTCTAGACTGCTCCTCTGACAAACTGTCTTTCTTTTATATTTACTTTCCTTTGTTAACCCTTCCCCTCTCCCGCTCCCCTTAGCATGCTCCCTGCCTTCTTGAAGGTAGGGACCACTACATTTTTACTATCTTTAGCACCAGCACAGCCTGGCACACAGGAGGCACTTAATGCTTGTTGAATGATAATGAATAACGGATTATAGGGCATTTCAAAGGTGATCACATCATTAAACCTCAAACGTGAAATGACACAGTTTGACACTTTTGGTCTATGGGAGCACATGGCAAAGCCTTATCCATTGAATTCAGGCAAATAAGAAGTCATGAAGACACACTAGATGTGTGACGCTGAGCTGGCAGCATTTACTCCATCTAGGCTTCATCTCTGACGATCCAACAGCAATCCTAGGTGAAGATGATTATCGCAAACACTGGGGGAGCCTTTTCCTCCAAAAGTTAAGCTTACTAGGGCAGAGGTGATTGAAAAATAATTTTAAAAATCTTTCCCTTATCTCTCAAATCTCTGCAAGAAAGTAAAACAATTCCCAGCTCAGGAGTCTTAGAGCTTTGCTTAAGTATGACACATAAACAGCACTGTGAATCTGGGCAAATCCCTTCACCTTGAGTGCCCGGACAACCGTTTAAGATGAAAGTCGCATGGTTATCTGGAAGGGAGTTTCCATGTCAAGATGCTTCTCGAAAAGTTGAAATCATAGGTCTGGACTACCCCATTCCCCACAACACTTCTAAAAAAGTGGGCTATGGTTTTTGCCCACATTTGAGCAAAAAAACCTTGCTTCTGTGAAGAGTCAGAGCTTTTCAGCTCTATTTCTTCAGTCCTGACATACTGAAGGGCTCTGATGTTTTAATAATTACGATTTCCTTATAGACTCTCCAGTCGGAAGGGACCAAACATCTGGTCCGACTCAGGCACAACATTCTGACCAAGAATCCCTGCACAACATTCTCAACAAATAGTGGTCCGGCCCATTTGAAGACCTCTGGTGAAGGGGTCCAGGCCACTTTGGGACAGATCAGTCAGCAAGTTTTTTCTTTGTTATCAAGTCCCAGCTGGTCTCGTTGCAGCTTGCTCCTGCTTCTCTCTTACCTCTGGGCCCCAGGTCTGCCCTCTGGGGCCAAGGAGAAGCAGCTTCATTCCTCTTCTAAGAGACAAGTACACAGACAGCCATCAAAGTAGGTGTAGGGGTGGGAGAAGGGGAGGGAGGAGATAAAAGTCTCTGCAACCTAAACATCTGTTCCAATCAATTCTCCTTCTTACATGGCACAGTCTTTGGCATCTTTGAGCCTTCCGGTTGCTCCACCCTGATGCCACTCCATTTCATTAATCTCCTTCCTACAACATGGTGTCCCAAGCTAAACTGAATACTGCATTACTGAAAAGTTCAGAACACGTGCAAGGCAAGTGAGGCTTTGCCTTGTCTCCCCACACTGTGATCTAAGATTTCTAGTGTATTTCTTCTTTTTCTTGGGGCCACCCTAAGTGCACTGAACTTTTGGAATGGATCGTCTGAGAACCAGTCTAGCTCAGTTGCTTATCATTAGGGTGGCCATAGGGTAATGTATTTTTGAGCCACAGTAACTTGGGACCATCTACTAAGTGACAGAGATGTGACCCACATTGCCTGAGACCAACAGTTACCAATTCAAAACCAAGTCTTCTGTAGGCAGTCTCTAAATACAAAGGGCTAGAAGCTTAGTGGAGCCCACTGCATGTCTCAATTCACTGATTTCTAGGATATAACACAGCCTCCTGTTTCCCATTCAGAGGGCACAGTGCCTGGGATTAAAGCCCCTTCCCAAGCTGGCTCTAGCCTCCCTCTCCAGGCCTATTACACATGACAGGATTCCTCTTTTTCTGCTCTATCTCCCTTCCAGCCATACCTTAGGCCTCGACAACTGGCTGCTTTTCTTACACATCATCCTACCTCTTGCCTACAGACCTTTGCCCAGGCTCTCAATGCTTCTACCTCTTGAATTCCCAATTCCCTTCAAGGCTCAGTTGAAGCAGCTTCCCATCCAAGGCCTTTCCTGATGCCCCAGCTACCGCCAGTGCTGACCCCCCATCACTCTGTGCTGAGTGTATCCATTTTGCATTCACATACATGTATACACATTTTTCCTGATATAAAGCAAGCTCTCTGAAGGCAAGGATGTGGGCTCATCACAAAACCAGCTACCTTCACTCATACAATATTTACATAAAAGGTGTTTAAAGCAAGCTACACTAAAGGACCCTGACTGACCTAGAATCTTAATTAGTTTGAAGGCTGAACACAATGCAGTCATACTCCTTTGGTCCCAGCCCAACATCATGTCTATCATTCACAAGTCTGCTAACTAACCAGGAGCGTGCTGCAAGTGTTACAGAAAACCCTCCATCACCGCAGCTTGCTCCCTCGGGCAGTTTCTGCAGGTGGTCCTTTCATAATCTATCCCCGTTGGGTGGATTACGACATGGAACAATCTTCTTTTTTTAGCTCTTAATGCCTTGGGAGCTGCATTAGATCGCTCTCCCAAGGTCAGAGGATAACCTCAAGATAACCTCAAATCACCAGGACTCCTATTTTTGGCCCAGGTTTAGAAAATGTGTGCTTACCTACGTACCAGATGAACAGTAGCTGGTTAGCCTCCTTCTTTGTGACTATTGGCTGCCTCTAACCAACCTCATCCTGGGCGGTCTTACTGATTTAAGGGGAAATGGACTTATTTCTGCACACAGAAGTGTCAATGAGCAATGCTTCTATGGCCAGATGCTCCTTTACTGGGGAATCCATTTGTTTTATCAAGTGGCTGTTACTTGGAAAGACAACTGGGACATCGGTCCCAATATTAATCAGCACCTCTTTCTTTAGGAGTAGTAAGTGCTCTATGTGAAAGGGGCAGTGCATCTAGAAAGACCAAACACCTCAATTTCAAGTGGATTTTATGGCAACGTTCTTGTGAAGCAGCAAGAACAGACATTCAAAGTTGCGATCTGGAGTCAATGCCTTTGGAATCAGGATCAACCACGTGGTGCTACTGGCCAAGAATCTATACTAAGGGGGCAGCTAGGTGGTGCAGTGGATAGAGCACCAGCCCTAGACTCAGGAGGATCCGAGTTCAAATCTGGCCTCAGATACATAAGACTTACTGGCTGTGCGAGACCCTGGGCAAGTCACTTAACCCCACTGCCTAGCCCAAAAAAAAGAATCTATACTAAGTGATAAGAATAAGGGAAAAGATCTCTTAACTCAAGTATTTTCTTCTAATCAAAAGCACAAGACCAGGACGGCAGAAAATAACTTCCTTGCCTTTAAAGATGAAGGGGAAAAACCACCACCATAATACAGAAGTGTGAAATTTTTAAAGCAGAATTTATTTACAATCAAGTTCTCCTGGGCAGTATAATAAAATAAATAAAAGCTGTGTCCAGGTCTGTCTAGTTCATTTGACTCCTTTCCAGAGAGGTCGCCTGAATCAAGAACTGGGATCAGAGTAGTGTGAGGGTAGGCAAGGAACAAGAATGTGGAGAGTATTCCCTTGGCTGAGGATTGGAGACTTGGAGGCGGAAGGAACCTTAGAGGTCACCTTGCAGACGAGGCAACTGAAACCCCAGGCCTTTAACCCAGCACTAAGAGACGCTTCCCAAACTACAGACGGAAGTGGTTCAGGAAGGAAGCAAAATAAAGTGCAAATTAGACGGTGACAACAAAAGGCGGCTTAGAAGCCCATCTGACATAATTGAAATTTTACACGCAGGGATAAATGTTGAGTCAGTGTCATCCCCCCAAATCCGCTCTGCCTCATCATGGGCTCTCAGATGGGAGGAGGCAGAAGTGCTTTGGCTTCCTCATGCTTCTTCCGTCAAGCACCAAAGAGGTATCGCACGTGTGCTTGGTGAAGGGGACAGGTCACTGGAAGGGGTCAAGTCCCAGAGTGATACATTCAAGGTTTCAACCTCTTGCAAGCTACCAACAACTTAACAGAAGCATAGCTGGAGAGGATGGTGGGACAGAGAGTGGCCTGGGGAATAACAGGCATGCCACACTGCTCATGACGACAGCACGCCCCCCTCCTCCCTCCGTGGTATCTCCGTCCCAAGCTTTACATCAAACTGATACATAGAAGGAGACTGTTTCCTACTCTGATTCTCCCATGTGCAGCAGCTTAAGCAGAATGGTGAATTTCTGTAGGGGTGGCTAGAGAAGATCAGAAGAAGAGACATGTAAACAAAGACACACTAGAGACCACCAGACTCACTTATGCCCGCTCCACCATGCTCCAGACCCATTAGGACCCACCCTTTCCATATTTCAGGTCAACTTGTTGGACCCAAAAAACACTGGGACTTGGGTTAGACCAGAACCGTGAATAATTCCTAACTTTTTAAGGATGAGGGAAAGTGCTAAAGGAGAATGAACATGGCTATTTGGGATAATTGGCATTGCTGTCCGTGAGGGGACCCAGCTGGTGCTGTGTGCTCCATCCCCTGAGGCACAGAAAGTCAAAGCCAGTAGTGTTCTTCATCCAAACCAAGGGCAGGAAGCAGATCCCTTGTGAAACACCTGCAGTGTCGATTATTTTCTCAGTATTTATCTTCGAGGCCTCTGAAATTCTGTCCAAGGAACAATAGCCGCTGTATTTGTCACAAGAGCTCTTCTCTGGGAAGTCACAGTGGCACCCTTGGCAATAAACCCCATGGAACGCCAGCTTTAGGCCGAGCCTTCCTCGATCCTTCCGTCCTGGAACAGCTCTCCTACAAAGATGGCACCTGAGATTTTGTTTTTCCTATGCCATCCAGTCAGTATTCAGACCACAGAATAGCTTTGTTTCCTTTGTCCACACTGACCACGTGAGTGCCAGAAGGTGACCATGCCACTGCATTAATTGAAGAACTGAAAAATCAAAAAACAGGCACCAGGAGACAATATTGAAGGACAGTAGGTTTTTGCACAAACAAAACCAATTAGCTAAATTAAGAGAAACTATAATTGGGGGCAGGGGGACCCAAAACTTTGCAGTATTTCTGAAAAACGTCTGACATCCCAGATGTACAGGGAATGGATATACATGGGTAAGAATAGAGCCATTCCACAATAGGCAGGTAAGTTCGAACAATCCTAAGGTTCTATTTCACCCCGAGTGTAAACAGATAGGCACACGAACGCACCGATGGTAGAGTTGTGAATTTACTCACCACTGAAATTCTACTAAAAAAAGTCACTCTACCCTGTGACCCCAAAATACCACCACTAGGTCAGAAGCAGAAGGAAAGACCCCATAAATACAAGAACTGAAGTTGGCTGCCCATCACCTGAGGGAAGAATGGCCCAAGAAACCTTTCTATGGTGCATGAAGGTGATAGCGCATGCTTGTGCAGGAAGAAAGCCTTTGCCTCAGAAGACTACAAAGAGATTCTATCACACCTCTCAAATGCGTGTCAAAGTCACCTGAAAGAGATGGGACACAAGGTGCAGGAGCGATGGCCTAAGCAATCCTGGGAGTGTCTTGAAAGCATTTCAATTTTGGAATGAGTAAAAGATATGTCAAAAAAAAATGAGCCCGTGGATTCCGAGTGGCACCTCCATATTGCCCTTAACCATGGAAAAGGCCTAGGTTGGCTCCCCCAGCCAAAGACAGATCTGCCAAACTGGACCCAGTCTGCTGTGTTACTAGCAAAGAATCTGGGCTTCAGGGGTCTGCGGGGAAGAGAGCTGCCTGCTCCTGGGCTGAGGCCACTGTCATGGGGAGCTAAGAATCGGAGTTTGCATGTTGAAGCATTTTTACAGTATTTAAAGACGTAAAAGACCCTTAGCGGAGAGCCTGTGCTCCCTGGGTTAAAGTGGCTCTACGTCTGCCCAAAGACTGAGTGACTAGTGATCTGGAGGATGAATCTCAAGTGTTAAAAGCTTGAAAGGAAAGATCTTTAGGGGGAAAAAAGAATCCCCAATGATAACAGTTCAGGTTAGTGGCAAGGTATTTTAACTGTAATTAGAAGTTGCTGTGGATTTGTCAGCCTCCTCTAACTGGGATGACTCACAGGGTAACAGGCTCCACAGTGAACAGAACTCTGGCCTTGGGTTCAGTCCCATCTCTGCTGTTCTTTAGCCGTGTGACCAAGGACAGGTCACTTCCCCTTCCTGAGCTCTAGCTGCTGCCTCCAAGGTCCCTTCCAAGCTTGATTCAGAGTTGAATCGCTGAATCCAACAGGCCGAGGTTAAGTGCCTTGCTCAGAGTTGCAGATAAGAAGCATCTGAGTCAGGATTTGAACCTGAGTCCTCAAATCCGAGTGTGCCTGCTCTTTCTACTATATGCTATTGCCTCAGTTTCTGAATAGAGAATGAACCCATTTGTGAGCGCACTGAGCAATCTGGCCTAGCTCGAGCTTCTTGGCCAGCCCTATTGAGGACCCCTTGGGGCAGGGACTGGACGGAGGTAGAGGGCAGGTAGCTGGAAGCCCCAGGACTGGCTCAGGAGGACCTGTCCTGCCACCTCAGCCCCCTCCAGGGGCTTTTCAGCAAGGGCAGGGAAGCGCCCAGATCGTCTCACCTGTGTTGCTTCGAAAGGACCCTGTCCACCTTGCCCGTGAGCACGCTCCAGATGTAGAGAGACCCCTCCGCTGAGCCAGCTGCTATGTAGCTGCCGTCAGGGCTGGCGCAGGAAGCAAGGAAAAGGCGCAAGTGTTGGGATGCAAACAAGTTCCCCTTTCCTCGGTCCCTCCCACACCTACACCGCCACGTGCTCTCTGGTATCTAACCAATGGCCTGAGCCTCATGTGTATCTGGAGTGGAGCACGCTCGTGTGTATGACCTTGCAAAGCTGTCAAACCTAATACTGCCCGGTCCCAGGGTCCCTCCATGACGGCAATCCAGCCACCTCCTGGGTGCTGGGCCCGGGCTCGTCAGCAAAATACAAGGACCAAAATGGCCAAACCCATCGAGGCATTATAGCAGGTGCATCCTACTTCTGTAGGTTTCAGGGGAGGGGAGGGAGCAGTAAAGAGGGAAAGGAAATGAGGAGAATTGGGACAATGAAGGAATTCTGGGCAAAATCTCTCTGACCACACGTAGTTAAGGAGTCCCTCTGTTTGCTACCCTCCTTGACTCTTTTTTGGGGGGGGGGGGCAATTGAGGCCAAGTGACTTGCCCAGGGTCACACAGCTAGTAAGTGTCAAGCATTTGGTCTGAGGCCAGATTTGAACTCGGGTCCTCCTGACTTCAGGGCTGGTGCTCTATCCAATGCGCCACCTAGCTGCCCCTACCCTCCTTGACTCTTAAGACTCTCTCGACAGGGGTGGTCTGCCAAACTCTCAACAACCACAGGCACTATGCCGCCTGTGGCCTCAAATCGTCACTAGTGAAGTACTACGGAGCAGATGGACATTGCCATGGACACGCCCACAAATGTGACTGTATTCTTACCACGAAAGAAAAGACAGACACCCCAAACTCTGCCCTCTCAGTGGGTGACGTGTGTGGACGTCATCGCTTACCTGAAGACAACTCGGGTCCAATCGGACCCACACTTGAATCCCGGAGCACTGCAATCAAACACAGCGGCGTAAATATGAAGCAGGATCAAAACCCTCCTTCCCTAAAGCCCCGCTCCCCTCAAACCCTGATGTGGCAAAATCTCCAAGTCACCAGGGCAGCCTGACAATGGTCAAAAATCACCAGCCCGTGGGTCACCTGAAGGTCTGTTTGACAGCATTAACTCGCAGGTCAATAATTTTTAGGAGGTCATCTCGGGAGCAGCTTAAGAGGTCTGTTCTCTCTGGGTTCAAGTCGAGGGCTGTGATCTTCCCCAAGAGTTCCAATTCCCGGACTATACTTTCAGATCTAAGAAAGAGGCAAAGGGTATGAGAAACACTCTTTATCTTTACCATAAATAACTACCAGCCAGGTCAGAAGGAACAGATCCATTTTCAAGTGGTGTTATCAAGACAAACGGCAAACGAGCAAGTCCCACGTTAGCTTAAGAAGGCACAAGGACGAGGTCTGGCCAGCTGCCCTCCCTGGCTGCTCCAATGGAATCTCCCCCTTTGCTAACCGCTTTCCTGGCTCTCTCCCCTTCCCCTTCGCACCAGTGGTAGAGCCAAGAGCACTGCCTGCTCCCGTTGGTGCCTCTTGAAGTTAGAAAGGCCAATAAGACTCTTCCAGGCTCCTGGGGTTTTCAAAGTGAGGAACTTTCTAGCTCAAGCACCTCCCTGTCAAGTTCAAACTCCCACAGGCCAGAAAAGCCAACCATCACATACAGAGGGTAGATGCTACCACAGTTCTGTGTTTGGTGGATGCCCCCAGGGCTCCCCACTATGTCAGTTACTGGCTCTCTGAAGCTCTCCTGAGGGCAGTGGGCCACACAGAAAGGGACCATGCTCTTGGACTAGAAAGAGGTAAAGGAAGGATTGGGGAGAAGGGGGGCTGGAGAATCTCAAATAATGGTTTTCTATGACACACAGCACTGATTCTCCCTAAATCTCCTCCCCTTGGCTTTTAGGCCAGAGTTATGTTACCTTATGTCCCAGAAACGGATCTTCTTGTCAAAATGTCCACTCATTACACACTGTTCCGTGCAGACGATATCATTGCAACTGGATCCGGCAAATACCGTTTTTATACCTGCAATGGAGAATGCACCTAACTCACCAAACAGCCCCGCCCACCTTCACTAGAGTCTCTGGATTAAAGTGTTTTTAGGCATCAGCTCCAGGGTCATGGTGAGAGTGCTGCTGGTGTCATGAACCCGAGCCATCACGGTTGAATCGTCTCTACTGCAAGTGAGTGGGGAAGTGGTAAGAGCGGTGGAACTAAGTGGGTTCTGAAAGCCTGCACCCATAGCCCGGGCCTGCTGCTGACCAGTCATCTGACCACGGACAAGTCAACGAGCAATGGGAATGCTACAACTTACAGCATGAGCATTTACTGTGAAGCTTAAAGCCCCAAAGCATTTGTCATCTTAATATTCCGACATTTTCATTTTAGAGTACAAAGGCGAACCTGAATGCAGAGTACTGAGTGTTACACTGCTCTAAAGGCAAATTTTTATCACAGAAAACAGACGCTTTCACCAAAATTCCTCCTTGTTGGACAGACATTGGACAATAACGAGCTTCCTTACAGACTTTGCTGCGCAGATCCCAGAGTTTGAGGGTCCGGTCATGACTTCCTGAAACAATCCGTGCGTTGTCCAGCAGGAACTTGGCAGACAGGACTTTCCCACTGTGCCCTGTGAGCGTGTGCTGAGGGAGAGAGGACGGGGTAAAGCAAAGGTTACCCCTAGAGGACTCTGCTGCCCCGAAATGCAGCCAATGAGCATCGCTCGGGACTTGATGGTTGTAGGGGGCAGGATGAGGGGGACATCACATCTTAGGAGCAGCTCTCTGGGGCACTGCAGCCGGAAGTACACTCGCCACCCCATCTCCCCAGGTAAAAAAAACCAAAAACAAAGCAGCCAGAGATGTTTAAAGAATCAAATGTAATATGGTTTCAAAGAAATGGCTGCATTATTTTGACAGAGCCACAGAAAGTCAATGCCCCATTGAGCATCAGCATGCAGAAGCAGGCCTCCCCAGAGCGACCAAATGCAGTCTGCACTGGTGGGGTGCAGCCCTAGGTGTGGAGCTCACACGTGAAGAGGCCACGGAAGGAACCAAGAGAGCAAAGCATCTGACATGAGGACACAGCCCAAGGGCCCCTCCGAAAACAGTCACTGTAGCATCCCATGAATATTTTTAAGTGCGCTAAAGAAATGAACTCCATAGGGGAGGTTTCCAATTCTTCCAATTCTCCCAGAGAGGCCTCAGTTTGCAAATTTCAGATCAGACCCACAGGAGATGTGCTCCCACCAGCCCTTATTCCTTGCTGACGCCCACTGTTGGACGCCAACCACAGTAGTGCATTCACTGAAATTCTAGCAAACACACACACGCACACGGGGCGTCCGGTGATGTCAGCAGGTCTCCACTCAGTCATGGCACCACTAGAGCCTGACAGCAAAGAGGCAGCTGGGAACTGGGAGGGTGGGCGGGTCATCTCGGGGTAATCAGACCTTTTACTATTCATCACTGACCCCTCTTTTACATAGAGCAAGGCTCAAATGACTCAAAACAGGATGCTCTTTCTATGACACAGGCCCAAGTCCCAAGAAGATTTCTCACTTTCTCATCAGTGCATTGAGGCTTGACAGCTGACTGTATTCTATGCCTACACAGGACACATGCCACCCTTCACCTCCAAGTCTTTGCATAGGCCCCCTCACCTCCGCCTTTTGATTTCCCACAAAACTCAGCTCCTGTCCCTTCTGCAAAGGGCCTTTCTTGGTCCCCCCAGTCGCTAATGCTTTCCCCTCTCAGATTATCATTTATCTGCCGTATATGTATCACGAATGTACTTGGGTTTTTTGCATGCTGTCTTCCCAATCAGAACGGACACTTCTGGATGGCAGGGGCTGTTTTCCACATTCTGTGTATCCCAGGGTTTCACACAGTGCCTGGCACACAGTGAGAGTGTAATAAATGCTTACTGACTGAGTGTCTAAAATCAGCTTCAGATAGCATTGATTTCTGAGGTCCATCCATGTAACAGTTACAATGGACACCACTGACCTGGTTTCTGGATGAACTTTTTGAATTTTCCACGTGTCTTATTCTGAACACTTACGTCAGAACTTCTAGGTAATGGAGTCAAATACCATGGAGGTTGACCCCGGACAAAGTTAGAAAGTGCAAATGTGAACCTAGCTATTAAACAAGAATGATCAGTTCTGTAAAATAAAAGGCAACCTAGTCATGGAATTTTCTGGAAAGAAAACACATTTGGAATCGGCTGGCTGTTTCCCAGTGCCCACCATTGCAGCCGAGCTTTGGTGGGGCCTTACCCGTAACCGGTTATCATCCACAGTCCAAATCCTGCTGGCGAAATCATTTGAAGCCGCCAAGAGATAAGATCCCTGTGGGAATGAAGATGACAGGGATGAAGCCCAAAAAGCTGTGGACCCCGGTAAACATCCAGTCCCAAGGCCAGAGCTAAATGGGGACCAACTTTCGGTCCCCCCTCAGCCCCTGGTCCACTCCTCCGGCCTCCCCACTCCCCGAGCTCAGCATACACACCGAGCAAGCACTTCTTTCCCACTGCTGCCAACCAAACATCTGGAGACACCAAAAAAGACCCAAACAACCCCAGAAAAAGGCCTCAGAGGAGAGGAAACGACGCGAGTCCAAACATCGTGAGCACACCAATGAGTGCCAACCTGCGGGACACTATAAACAGGGTGAAGAGGAGGGGGAAGTGAGGGTGAGGCTGCTCGGGGCCCCAGGCCGCCCCCCGCCTCTTCGCTGTCTCGCTCGTTGGGGGGCTGCGGGTTACTTCTCAAACACAGCGCCTCAGCGACCCTCAACGACTGACTGCTCTATTGCCTTCTGTTTGGTTTCCAGGGCCAGGGTTGCCAGAACTGACCCAGTAATTCTACAAACATTTTATCTGTGATTCCTTCTCTGACCTGGCTTCTGAGTCAGAATGGCAGGAGATGCGAGAGAAACAGTAAAGCGCACCCAATCAAGCACAAATGGTTCTCCACTCTACATTTCACCGCCCGGGCCATGAGCGTTAAATCAATACTTACAGCACTGTCAAACTCAATGCTGGTGATTCCTGCATTACTGCCAGAAAGGGAGCCCTTTGCCTCACATTTATCTGCATGAAAAAAAGAAAAGGATTGCCACGTGATCATTCGGAGGGGAAGGACCTTAGAGGTCATGAGAGCCCCCACCCCTCATTTTATAGAAGGGGAAACTGAGGCCCAGAGAGACTCAGCGTAACAAGGGGCAGAGTCAAGATCTCTACCCAGGGCCTCAGACTCCAAGACCAGCACTCCTTCCACTGAACCACAATGTGAGAGAACGACATGAGCCTTGAAGTCAAAGACATCACCAGGGAATCCTATGCCAGTGCCCAAGTCAACTCTTTAAGGGGGTCATTTGCAGAAAGAGGACAAGTCCCCTCTAGGAAGACAGGGCTTCCTCACTGGGAGGTCACAATGCCAGGGAAATCACAAATTCTTTTTATTAAGCACCTCTTCTGGGCAAAAAGCATGGAATTAAGAGCCAGAGCATCTGGGTGAGAATGCCTATTTGCTATTTGTTAGCTATGTGACCTTGGACAAGTCATAATCTCTCTGGACCATTTCCTATCTCAAAAATTAATTGGACGGGGCAGCGAGGTGGCACAGTGGATAGAGCTCTGGTCTTGGAGTCAGGAGGACCCAAGTTCAAATCCAGCCTCAGACACTTGATACTTACTAGCTGTGTGACCCTGGGCAAGTCACTTGACCCTGATTGTGTCACCAAAAAAAAAAAAAAGTGAATTGCACTAGATAATCTCAAGTTCCTTCCAGCTCTAAACAGCATGACAGACTTTTGGGGCTGCCTCTGACTTTCTCCTCATCAGTGGTCTTCAAGCAAAAGCTGGATGAGCACTTAGGAAGTGCATGCTGTTGAGAGGACTGCTGTCAGGTAATGTTTGGACTTGAAGATCTTGGAGGCGCATCTGGACAAAGACTCTGGGAAAACAGGGTTCAAGGTCTTGTACATTTAGGACCTGTGATCTGTCAGGTGAGCGCTCCCCTCGCTAACATCTATGGTGCTACCCTTCTATGACTTAGGAGCTGGTCTGGGAGAACGGCTGTGGTTCAAAGTCTCCGCGCGTGGACTCCAGACAGAGGCAGTTCTGACGGTCCATGGAGCCAGGCCGTGGCAGGTTCCTGACGTCTGCTGCTCTTAGCATCGAGGAACCTGTTTTGCTTTTGGCTGAGCTACAGTGACGGCCTTTGTCAGAATCACAGATGGGCCTGCTGGTTCCCAAACAAAGGGAGTGCAGCTAAGGCACTCACTCTCTGGCCTTAGGGAGTCAATTGGCCTCTTCTGGGATGGGGTCTCTGATCAAACTTGGCCTTCTGGGCTGCCAAATTAAGGACCAATTTTTCCAAGTGGAACAGGGGAATCAAAAGGACCACTCACCTCTCCCCAGCTTTACAGTGGCCTTGAAGGCTAAGCTCAGGTAGGTACCACTACCGTGACTGAAGCCTTGGCTCCCATGCCAGCTCACCTGCCCCATGGGTCCTCCCCAGGGTCTTTCCTTCTGGCTTGATGCCACCACTTTGTCACCTGTTTTTTGAGTTACTCTGACTAGCCCACTCTGAAGAGAAGGCAAATCCCACCTAACACAGACAGAGTCCCGGAGCTGGAAGAGCCCCCAGAGGTCATCTTCCTCAACCTGCGCCTATGCCCATTGCGCTTCTGGATAGCTATAACCGGAGTCACACACACCAAGCCACAATCTGTCCCTGTGCAACTTCTATCCCTTACTCCTAGTTCTGTGTTCTGGGAACAAAGCTGGGCCCTCTGCCACACGACAGCCTCCCCAGTACTGGACATCAGCTTCTTTGCGCTCATGTCTCCAACTCCTCCAATGGCTCCTTATACACAGTACGTTTCCAGGCCATCTGTCCCTTGTCCTGGTCATCCGTTCTGGGACATGTTCCAGCTTATCTCAGCCTTTCCAAAAATGCAGTGCCTAGAACTGAAGATGGTACTGTGGCCAGATGGGCCCTGCTCAGAGGGCACAGTCAAATGTGGACGTGACTCCTCTCTGAATGCAACCCAGGCTAGGCTTCACGTGTGGTCTGCTCCAAACCTTTTAATTTATTCTGAGAGCCGCAGTATTTTATCTTTAATTTGGAAGTCTTGCAAAAACAGACATTCCAAAAATGTTAAAGCCAGAAGAAAGCTAAGAGATTCTCGAGTTTCATTTGGCTCTCAGAATTGGCCAGGACTGCACATCACTTTTTAGTCACCAACACTGGGCACGGCCTATGCCAGGAGGAGTCAAGACGCATGCCGGCGGGCCCCTGGTGATGGAGATCTAGCTGATCTCTGTACGTGGAGCCCATCTAGTTTGGGAAAGCCTTCCAGAGCGCTTCTCCTATGGGTGTAGCTATTGGGAGCCTCGGGTCATCTCTATACCATGAGGAGACCCCTCCAGACACGAGAAAGGACAGAGAGTCAATATCGATCTGTTTGGTTTCGTGGAATCACAGGTCTGGAAGGGAACTGAAAGTTCTACCATCTAGTCCAACCCTTGACCAAGAATCCCAGACTTTCAGCGATGGGGCACTAGGAGCCAGAAGCTCCTTCCACTTCTTCTTCTTCTTCTGCTTTTTTTTGGGGGGCTAGGCAGTGGGGTTAAGTGACTTGCCCAGGGTCACACAGCTAGTACGTGTCAAGTGCCTGAGGCTGGATTTGAACGCAGGTCCTCCTGACTCCAGGGCCGGCGCTCTATCCACTGCACCACCTCGCTGCCCCACTCCTTCCACTTCTGAACAGCCAGAATAGTCCATTCGGTTAGGAAGCTTTTCCTTCTATCCAGTCAAAGTAGCACAGCCGCCAGCAAACAGAACAAGTCCTGTTTCTTTTATGTGACAGCCCTTTAAGTACTTCAAGGCAGCTCACATGAAATTTTCTGTTATCCAGGCTAGACCTCTCAAATTCCTTCAACTGTTCTGCATACGGCTGTGTCTCCAGGCCCTTCACTATCCTGGTCACTCTCCTCTAGCCTGATCAATACTTATCAACGTCCTCTCTAAAATACGCCCAGAACTGAATAAGATCCTCCAGAGTGCAGCCTCCTTCCCAGACACTAAGCCTCTCTCACACCAACTTTTCCAAAATGAAATAAATGGAGGTTAGCCTGGTGTCCTTAGCAGTTTCTTATTTTCCTGCAGTCTCTCACCTCCAAACACTTCCCAAAGTCTGACCCTCCGATCCATGCCTCCTGTGGCGAGTAACCGGGAGCCGGGGCTGAACTGCACGGCATTCACTTCTCCATCGTGAGCGTCCTGGAAGAAGACAAGAATCCATCTCAGCTCCTGATTGCATCCTCACTCAGATGTGGACGAAAGCCAACCACTTGGGATCATAAACAGAGTCTGCATCTCATGTCCCGAAGCAGGTTCATTTACAAATACAACGAATTCGCTTCTGGTTCAGAGGGCTTTCTAGTTTGGGGTTTAATGCTGCTAATAATGTGAACGTGCTCTCAAATGAGAAGCCTACCACTACAATTATATTTTAAGAACCACAACACAGCTTCCTTAGATGGTCTTAACTTGTAGCCCTGCTGGCTTAAGTCTGAACTGTTCTTGCATCAACTCTGTATCCTCTAAAAGTAACGTACTTCAAACCAATACTCCACTGTAACTTGGGTCTTTGTGCATGAGTCGCTTGAGAGAGCTTTTCAGAAAGAACGACACATGCTCAACTTAAGTGCCTCTCTGCTGGTTCTGAGACTTTTTTCCTGCTGTAAAACTACAGGCTTAGGAGGTGAGTGTCGCCTCTATGGAAGTGCCAGCATCATGAGGGACAATTACAGTCATAGAAACATCATAGCATTTTTATAGGAAATAAAATCCTTTCCAAGAAAATCCACCTCTCACGTCCTCTGGAGTCTGGGACCAATGCTGAAAAACCATTTAAGATGGTAAGGGCAGAGGACTCCAGGCTGGTCAAAAGCAGCAGCAGCAGCTGGGAAGGAGGGAGGAAAGCAGGGGGCTTGCTCGGAGGATGCGAAGAGGAAGTCAAGAGATAGGAGGCTTTTTTTTTAAATTACAAGTTTCTCTTCCCACGCCCTTCTAAGAACACAGCATCATGAGCATGATGTGATGCCACAGGGTCAGAATTAAGTACGGTGTTATTAGTGACTGTCTGATTCCAAGCATAAACTACAACAACCTGGCCTCCTGTCTGAAGGTCTGCCTTGGAGAGACTGTGTTTCTAACAGAAAGTCTTTAGGGAGTGTCCCACAGAATCTCGTGGTCAACCTTCTGGTAATGATGACTCTCTTTAACTGGCTGGCAGAACAGGATTAATACCATTCCCAAGATTCCTCTTAGGTTTAAATGGCTGCTCATGGGACTAAGCTTGGACACCTCTGGCAATGCTCTTCTCTCGGGCTGTCAGGTGTATGGCCCCTGACCACTATGGTTTTTGGCTAGTGAAGACATTCCCAGAAGCAGGTTGTGAACCAGCGCACGAGGTCTCAGCTTGAAAACTTGAGATCACGCACCGTCACATTCCTGTGGCACTCCACTCCAAGCTCCTCCGGAAAGGTTCTGTTGGACAGCAGCCCAGCATGTCCTTCCCTCCTCTCGGGAGCACACACTGAACACGTCCCCAGCTGTCAGCGGCTCCACCATCCCAAGGACAGTGTGTCTTAATCGTGCCTGGGTAAGAAATGATGGGCTGCTGGGAGCTGTGAAGGCCGCAAGAGGGAATGTGATTTCTCAGTGCAGTCAGACCTTTTACTTCTCATCACTGACCTCAGAAAACAGCCAAATACATTTAGATGATGGACTGCATTGGGGTCTAAACCTCTGCTAGAGCTCAAGGAGGGAAATCATGTTCAAGTTCGGCAGCACAACTAAGGGAAGTTTGCCTGGCAGGGTTTCCCCAAGTATTCGGTCACCACTTTTTGAACGGAATGTACTTACAAAGACATAAACTGCAGTTGTGGGGACCCGCACTTCTTTACTAGAAGTAGGATGAGCATCTGGGTTATCCTGAGGAACAGGGAAGGAGGAGACAGAACGCCTCCTACGAAAAAATACAAACGCAAATAAGTTAAATCAGAAGACAAAGCCTGGTGATCATCAGGCAAGATGGTAGATAAACGACTCAGAGATGAACTTGTCTGACCAGGTTGTTTCTAGCTCTTCCCCTCCCCACCTTGGCCAGTCACCAAAGACCATTTACTAAAAACAGCCACGATGGAGGGCCCATCAGCAGTGCAAACCGGCAGCCCCTGTCCCCTGGGTCACTGACTCCAGGCTGCCCAATCAGGGCCGGTTTGAGCTGGTCGTGGTGACCGGTGGGTGCCCAGCCTTCTCTAATTGCATACCATTGGAACAGTGAGATGGACTGCTCTCTCTCTTTAAAAAGACATCTGAGATCAGGGCTGTGCCTCATCACAGTCTTAATTTTCAATGTGGGAAGAATTCAGCCCACGCTCCTGACCCCAGCAGCATCCGATGCAAATATCTTTTAAAAAAGAGCCTTTGCTAGCATTAGCATGCCGATTAGGAAGGTTAATAGTAGAGAGCGTGGAGGGTGGAAGGGTCCAACTGTCCCAGCTCCCATCTGGAAGGGCTAAGAGGCACATGCAAAGTTTCCGGGTTAGTACTGTGTATGTCAGATGACTGAGGGCAAGGACACAGGGGTCAGCATCATTTCTATGTCCCACACTCACATGCTGGCCTAAGAGTGGATAATGTGTTCACCTGGCAGCATCAGAAGAAGGGTGGTGTCCCAAAAGGGGAGACTCGGACAGACTGGAGGGAAAGGTCAGAGGTCAGCACATAGCAAGATGTAAGAAATAGGAAGTTGAGGGGAAAAAGGGGAGGGGAGGGCAAAAGCTAGAAGAAAAGCTGACATTCAAATACTTTGTATTCCTCACATCACTGATATTCTTGTGTACGTTCATTACACATTTGTAAAAACACAGACACATACATAAAAAGGTGAATTTTTCTAACCTACCCAAAGATATTAGTGATAGAGTCCAGAAGGCCTCCAGCAGGCTGGGAGAGTCGCTTACTAAAGAGGACAGGAGGATAGGTTTAAACCTTGTGAACAGCATCCCCTCCCCGCCCCAAATCATCAATACAGTCCACACAAAAAGCCATCTAGGAGAACATCCTGCCACTGAGCCCCAAACCCCACTGAGGTGAAACGATACAGCACAGAACCGACCAGAAAATGCACATGGGAGAAAGCGGGAGGGAGGACCCAGCCGGTAAGAAGCAGCAAGGGGAGGAAGAAGCCCATCTCTCGTTACATGTCAAGAAACATAAGCTTTTCCTAACACGAAACAAATCTGCTCTCAGAGTTTCAACCTGCAGGAGTTCTGGCTACTCTTACACATTCTGCAATGAAACGAGAAGAACCAGAGTTTGGTCCATGCGACACTTTTCTTTCATTAGGCAAAGCTGTGCCATTTTCTAGGTAGTTCCGATTTCATTTTAAACATTGGAAAACTTGGTGAAGGAGACAAAGGGTGAGCTGCTCCACAAGCAAAGGCCCAGCTGCCCGTCTGGGGTATGCCAGCCACATATTCCTTCAAACACGTCCAATGTAACACGGAACACAAGAAGAGGCAGGCGCACAGCACTGCTGCCCCCCTCCTGACGCCCTTGCTTTGTCCAGTCCAACAATGGCTTCTTTTGCTTCCAAATGTACACTTAGCCCCCCTGGGAGGCACAAAAAATGACCTTCCTTTCCCTCCCGACACACAGCGTGCTTACGTGGCTGTCCGGCTGACCGCTCGAATGGGCGACGTCTCCTCGGCCGCATCTGAAGCTTCATCCACAAGCACTTCTATGTCATCATCCCTGGAGAAGGATGGGAACGTTTCTACTTCGTGAATTGGCTAGTGGCAGCCCCATCACGAATGTCTCCTGCAAATCCCAATATCATTTCTCATCCATCAACAACCTCTGCAACTAGGCCACACTGCAAACACTACCGGGAAATAACCAAAGTAATCGCTAACATCTAAAATCAAGTCCAGGGTTCCATGGAAACACCTCCCTTCAAAGCAAGCTGTTGGCGCCTTCACACATCCACACCACTGGTCCCGTTGGAGTGCCATGCAAGGCTACAGCCAGACCAGGTATTGCATGAGAATTAGTCTTGTCCAGTTCCTGGGAGAGGGGAGGGTGGTGGGTGAGATAAACAACAAGCTGGCACAAAGAATGACCCCCAGGTTGAGGCCCATGCAATTTCGGCCTTGGGAATGACTCCATGCACAGAAGGTAAGCTAGAAGTGAGAAGGCGGGTTGCGGAGAGGAGGGGACGTGGGCAAGGATCTGCCAAGCTCCTGATGGCTGGCTGAGGGCATGAGACAACAACACTCTACAGAGAAGGTCAGTGAAGTCAAAGGAAGTAACCTACACATGCACTGGCTTTCAAAGAGTGAGCTGGAGCCTAAAAGTCACTCAAATTTCACTTAGTCTTTATGCTGACATGAGCGTATGAATTCCTAGCGCTTCAAAGGAAATTTGGTGTTTCCAGACCAGGATCTGCTGCTAAGTGTGACCTCTCTGTGCCTCATTCTACTCATTTGTAAATTGGGGGATGGGTGGAGGGCTAAAGGGAACTTGTGACAGGAAGCCCTGGCCTCTAAGGAGCCATCAATCAGTGGGCTCAGAGCTCCACTTTCCCATAGCCAAGGGGATGCAAAAGGCCACTCCTCCCAGCAAAGCTGCTGCATTTATCATTCAGAGTTTTTCTGTGTTGTTGTCGTTTTTAAATTTAATCCCCTCCCTGCCCAAATAAAAATTTGCCTTCTCTCCCTGCCACTGTTCCCTTTCCAACTGAGAAAGAAAACCGTAAGTCTTCATTCTTAAAGGCCTCCTGCTGAAGGCAGCCTCTGTAGGGGAGGGAAAGTAAACACAAGAATGAAAATGAGGATTTTATCTCCTCTACCAAAGTCCACCAGAACATGAAGAAGAGAAGTGGCTTCCATGCTTTGGAAGAGCCTGCATGTGCCAAAGCCTGACACGTGGCTGCAGAATGGCGCACATCCTTACTGGTGACGGCAAGTCAGGCTCAGGTGGGTGGAGCTGACTTAACCTCGTGGGGAGCAAATCATTTCTCTAGATCTGAGGACTCCTGAAACAATTTGTGGAGCGCTAAAGGCCATACCAAAGCCCCGGTATTTAACTCAATCAATTCCACAGGATCTGCTTCATCAATTAGGCTTCTGGCACGGCTGGGGAAGACTGAGGTCCTAAAGACACACCTTTAAATGACAAGATGCCAAACATCCAGTCAAGGCATTTCTCCTATTGGGACTGGAGGCACCCGTCCCATTCTGACCTGCCACACTACACTGGGAAGAACATCGAACAGGAAAGGGCTGCAAACTGTGAAGATGCAAAGAGCGGAAAACGGACTAAGACATAGGATAGAGTACTTAAAGAAACCAAAGGTCCTGAACTTTGTCTCTGAGCTCCATCACCCAGCAGGAAGAGGAGGGTAGCTTAATGCTGAGCTTGGTAATCATCAAATGATGGCCACAACTATTTATGGGAAGGGGGAGAAAAGGGCTCTCATGCTCTTGCACATACTGAAGGAAAAGCTCTGCACACAAGCAAAGTTTCCTAGCCAATGGTTTGGTTTAAAAGGTGCTTTTCAAAGCTCTTTTGTTATTTCTGAAGCATGCATCTGCTCCCCAAAGTTACCCTCAAGAGGTCAGCACAAAAGCGAAGCCATTTTCAGCCTTATCTGCTCCTCCCCAGGTACTAACATACGGGGTGATGTCCTGCTACTTAGAAGAACGTGCAGCACGCATGTCACCTGATTAGCACAGGGCTGAGGGGGAGCTGGGAAGCTTCTCACTGGCTCTGCCTGCTCTCTTTCAAAGATCCCTGCAGTCTCCATGCCCTCCCACTCTCCCCAACAGTCTTTCTGCCTACTGACGCGACCTCCTGCCACCCATCGGGGGCAGCTGGGGCACAGAAGGGGCAGGCTCTCCAGGGAAGCTTTCTCTCCTCTTCCTTGCTCTATTCCTCTTTTCTGCACCTGCTTCCCTCCCCATAAGGTTCTGTAACCAGCTGTTTTGAGGTCCCATTCTTCTGTTAATTGCTGTGCCACAGGGCCAAACATAGGAACACCTGAAGCTTCTGTTGAGGTCGCTCATTTTGTACAATTGCCCTCAAATCCTACTGCTTCGGGATGATTCCCTGGTAGGATGGACCAGGATTTGAAATGCTCTCTGCACTGCCTTCTCATCTCCCATTCCCTTTAAAATCAGGAGGCATTAATTAAGTAATAACTTCTGGAGAGGGAAAAGCATCACCCCCCCCCCCCATTGAGACCAATGAGGTATTTAATGCACCAAATAGTCTTGGGAAGGCAAGTGAAAGCCACTGTGGTTTTAGGAACACTGATCCCCTAAATTGTTTCCCATGGACAAAGTGACTACGTGCTTAGCTTTCTGCTGATGCTGGTCATGCATTTTAAGACTTGAAAAATTAGATTCCAGGCACAAACCGAATAAATTCCAAGTCAAGCAGAGGAAAGGGAGGGTGTGGTCAGCTACCAGGCCCAGGAGCTGGCTGTTTGGGTGAAGGCTGAAATGACCAGAGGTGGCATGCAGGGAGGGTTTCTGGCCTTGGGGAAAGGAGAGTGAGGGAACAGGGCTAGCTGGGCCCTGGTGCACGACTTTGTTGCCATTTTCACACCTCAGGGCTGGAGGAAAAGAGGTGCCAGGCAGTCCAGGCTCTTCCTCACCACCCTGCTCTACAATAACATTTATTTCCAGCACTAAAAGTGGCCAGTGTGGGAAAGGGAGCTGTCCAGGCCAGGGCAGCTGCGAAGTGGTCTGCTGCTGGCCCATCCGGCTCACTAGTGGCCTTCACGAGGCGGGGACGGCCACCGCTGCAGGTTGGTGGCGCTTGACTCTGTCGGCAAAGTTCCTTCTGTTTGTGGCTTTGAGCCAATGGTCACTTTCTCATTTGAAAATACAGAAAACACGGACCAACATCCCTCCTGGAAATTCTAACCATTTTCAAAGAATTTGGGGAAAATGGCGCTGGTGTCCCTTGGAAATGTCAAAGATGGACGAAAATGACCCCCATGACCCGGGGGGTGGGCTGGGGAGGAAAAGACTAAAAATGGACATTTCTAAAAAGTGAGCAATAAGACCAAGCCAAGGGGCCATTTTTCTTCCAAACCAGCCAAGCTCACTGGCTGGGGAAGAACCCTCTGGTGCTCAAGGCGCTTTCCCCCATTTGTGCCCTAAGACCCAAGCAGAAGCTGTGCTGGGGAACCTACCTCAGGACAAGGAGACCCTGGCAGCACCAGCCCCACCCCCAACTGCAAGGACCGTGGGGCAGCGACTGAGGTCCTGCTCTCCCTAGTTTCTAAGGTGGGGGCAGAACAGACCTGATGACAAGCAGAGCCTGGAGGTTCTGGGGTTTCTACAAGAACTTCCCTCCAAGGGCTATAAGCTTTGAAACATCACAAATATTAAGACAATGGACGAGAGCTGAGCTTTATTTAAATTCATATTGTAAAAAATAGAAATGAACAAAAAACCAGGTGGTCTCAGCTCGCAGTGGACTTGGCCTGGGGCCTCCATTTGGGGATTTTTTAAAAACTAGAAATGAAACCTGCCCTGATGGCCCCGCAATCCTCTCCTTTTCCACTACCTGTCTTCCTGCAGCACCTTTCCATTAGGACGCTGAACTCTCCTGTGGGTCAAGAGCAGCAATCACAGCCTACCACTGGGCTTCAGCAACAGCACCACTAGACCCAGGTGAACAGAGGTGAGAGGACGCCCCCCCCACCCCACCCCCATCCCTGACATGCAAGCACTGGTCAGAAGGCTGCAGGCCAGGGGCAAGGACAGGGCACACAGGCGAGATGAGGGGATGGGTAGAGCAGCCTTGGGATATACTGGGACACTTACGGTTCTACAGGCAACGGCTCCTTGGCAGCTTCTGCAAGCTCCTTCTGCAGCCGGGCCTGGCGGCGTCTAGAAAAATGGCTACAGTGTTAAAAACAAGCCCTTTTGTGCACTTAAAGAGAGCTCCCTTCCCTGCCTGCAGGGAGCTCCCTTTCTATTAAAGCAGCTGAGAAAGTATGGCACTTCAGGAAGAACTACTGCCAGGCCAAAACACAGACATACACACATAGGCATGCACATGCACAAACACACACGCTCCCTCTCTCTAACCCAACATACACCTGAGTCACTCCTTTCGCTAGCAAAGACAGGGTCAAACTGGGAGAAAAGGAGCAACAGTGAAGTCACGTGGCCTGGTAGTACGGGGAGAGCTGGGCTTTGAACATAGGTGTCCAAGTGCTTTCCACGGTATCACACCCATGCAAAAGGAAAGAATTGGCTCTGAGGTGCCTTTCACGGCTTCCCTCTGCTCAGCGCAGACGAAGAGAAATGACGAGGGCTGTGGGTAAAGTGGCCCATCCTCTCTGGTCATCTCCTTCGGGGACAGCCAGCTTATCACCTCCAAGCCCTGGCCTTCGGCAGGCCTGAGAAGAGCCAAGGACCTTGTGAGAGCCCTCCCACCTCTCCTGGAGTGAGACCTTCATTCCCTCCTGGAGTCTGCCCCCTCTTCCTTCTCCTCCTGTCTAATCCACCCAGGTCTCTCCCCGCTCCCTGTCTTTTTCTTCAATCCTGCTGCTGCCTCCTCCTGCCTGGATCTCTGCCCCTACAAATGGGGCCACTGGGCTCTCTGGCCTCTCCCTGCACTCTGATGGTCAGACTCATCTTCCTGAAACCATGCTTTCAGCATGTGATGGCCTTGCTCAAGCTATGATGTTTACTACACAAAAAAAGGTAACAAAAAATAAGGGGATACAGAGAACTACGGAAAGACCTAAATTAAATAATACAAAACAAAAAGTCAAAGTAGGACTATCATGTTATGCTAAAATAAAAACCACAGGAAGCAGTAATATAAAGTAAGCTAATTGTATAAGCTTTGAAACATCACAATTAAGGGTACTTTTATTGTACAAATACTACTTTAAAAAAAGGGGAAATAAAAAAGCTGCAGATAGTTCTTAGCCACCGTGCCAACCAAGGCTGAATCAGCCTTCAGCAGGCTTTCCAATCTCCCAGGAGCCAGCTGTGTGACCCTGGGCAAGTCATTTAATCTGTCTGTCCTAGTTACAAGGATAATAATACCACTTACCTTCTAGGGTTGTGAGGATAAAATGAGGTAATATTTGTAAAGTGCTTTTTTTTTTAAACTGTGAAGTCTTCTATAAATGTTAGCCATTAATTTGAATTATCATGTTGAAGAAATGTCCATGGGCATGGGGTGGGGAACTATGCCACTTTGGGCCTTTCTCTCAATTCAATAAATATTCAAGTGCCTGCTATGGGCCAGGCACCGATCTAAGCTTTCTCTGAGCTAGAAATGGACTCAGAACAAAGTTAAATTAATAATACTGTTTCTGGCAGACTTGTGCCTAACATACATAGTAGGAATCTTTTTTTTTCTTTGATACTGGTCTTCCAAACTAGACTCCTAACTTTCTGAGGGCAGGGCCGCTTTTTCATGACTTCTAGTCCTTGCACTCAATAAAGACTTTCCCATCAGCACTGCTGTTGGTCCTGAGCATGGATAGCTGAGAGCTTGGCTGGGGTCACCTGGGAGAGGGCAAGTCTGCTGGGCCTTCAGGAGGAAGTCCATAGGCCAGAAGGCCTGAAGTCAGCCTCCCAACATCTGACCACAAAAGTAACCCACAGCCCTGGCAGGTCTTGTCTTCCCCACGCCCCCGATCTCCCCGCTGGCTGCCTGACCCTACAACCTGACATCTGGGTGGGCTTCATGCAGGCCCTGACACAGGCCCATGGGCAGCAGCTGCCTGTGGCGCCATCAGTTCCTCTTGGCACGCCCTGCTTAATGTCTCGATTTTCTTTCCCAGTGTGACTCTGCTCTCCTCACTTCCCCTCTCACAAACAGGTTCTCATTCTCATCAGGAACACAGCCCATAGTAAAACCACAAGAGGCTCACCCTGAGGATGTGGTTAGACAAGAGAGCTGCCGCCGAAAGCCATCTGTTTCACTTACTGAGGGAGGATATCAGGGTGGCTTAGCTAGCGAGGCCAGGCCATACTCCTACTAAACCTTAAAAGGCCTCTTTTCTCGGGGCTTGTGGAGGTAGAGTCCAGGTTCCCTAGATGGTTTACAGCACAATCTGCCTCACTGGCACAGGAGTCCATCTCACTTGCATTTGGGTTGACGTCAATTATTAATGCTAAGTACTACTTCAGGCTGCCCCCCCAAAGCAGAATTAACCCTTGGTGGGGCTGAGATTAAATCCTCCAATGTCAGCTCTCCCTAAAATGTGGCAACAAACCCTGTGGTGAGAGGCTCACAATTCTCTGGTGAGAGAGGAGATCCTCTCTAAGCCTCTGGATATAAATAGGCCTAAAATTCATGGGGGAAGTTGGTCCAAGGGTGGTAACTTCCCAGAAGGAAACTCTGAAGACACAGCACATCAATTCCGTCCATTCTGGTCAGGAAGAACTGAGGTATTACTGAAGGGGCCTGACGAGGATGATGAGGGAAATCGGGGCTAATTTCTTCTTGAAAGAAGCTGTGACTTCATTGGGCGTATGGAATTCCTGCTATCACTGTGGTGTAGGCTCTCAGAGCTCCCTGGGGCCTGGAGAGGGGTTAAGCAGTTTGCCCAGGCTTGGTCACAGGTCACAAAGCTGGTATGTGGCAGGAGAAGGCCAAGACCAGAGGTCTTCCTGAGGCAGGTCTAGGTCTTTCTGCTCTACAGCCTGCTGCCGCCTGCCCCAACCACGACGGAAGTTGGGAAGGAGGAACAAAGAGCACCGTCCGGCCCTCTACGAATGTCAGCAGCATGAAAGGTTACAATGACCAAAAGTCGGCCGTGAATACGAAAGATAACAAAGCGATGTTAGGACCACGAGGAAACTCAAAGAAGACCCAGACCCTACTGCTAGGGGTGGGTGGAACAGTGACACCAGCCACAGAAAGGAGACTCCCACCCTCCCCAATCTGACTCCAGCATAACTGCATGTTTATTATTCCTCCTTGCGTGCTCTGCCCTGCAGCCAGTCTGGCCCTGTGACTTTATACAAGCAGCCATTCAGGCCTAGCTGCCTCTCCCACAGAGCAAGCATGTAATATGTTCCATGACGTCAGAGAGTTTCATTTTCGTCTGTTCCCCAGTGCCTGGCACAAGGTTTGTCGAAGTGAAGGCAGAACTACTCAACTCTTATCATGCTTCTGTTACTCTCTGACAAGGAAAATGATTTTTGCATAGGGAAGAATGGAACAAAAATGGTTAGCAGAGCTGAAACTCAAGCTGAGTTAGCTGAGACCGTGACAAAACATCTAGCTGCCATCAGGGATGTGATGTGTCTTTGGACACAGACAAAACTCTGGCCTATGCTGAGGTCCTACTCTGCTCCAGGCACTGTGCTAAGCTAAGCATGAGGGAGACAAAGAAGGATATTGAAAGAACTGGCGAAGGTGACTACTGAGTCCTGGCATGTCATCTGGGAAGAGCAGGAGGTGCTGCATGACTGGAGAAAGGCAATTTGCCTCCATTTTTAGAAAAGGAAAGAAGATCAAGTTTGCAATAACTCTGGCAACTCCTATTCCTGGAAAAATTCTGGGTCATATTATTAAAAGGATGGCTTGGGAGCCTTTAGAAAGGGGCCCGGGATAACGCTAGGTTCTTGAGGTCAGCAGCCACAAGCACACTGCTACCAATACAGACAAGATGGAGAGGCTGGCTAGATGGCAACACAGTGATGTATCCTGGAGACTGACTGAATGACTGAAGCCAAAGGTCATTCATTAACGGACTGATGCAAACTTGAAGGAGTATCTACACTGGAACGTCCAAGGGATCTATCCTTGGCCCTGTGTTGTTCAATTTTTACCAAAGGTTTAGATGAAGGTATCCCAATTCCATTTCTACCATCAAATCTGCAGATGACACAAAACTCAAGAGCCTAGAACACGGGGCCAAATCCAACAGGATGTCCCTTAACAGGGACCTTAAAGTGTAAGATAGGGGGGTGTGAGAAACCCGGAGTGCACCTGAGAAAGATGTACAGGGTAGGTGGGTCAGTTAACATGAGGTGTGGCAGCTAAAGACAGACTGACAGACACAGACACAGACGCAGACACACAGACACACACAGACACACACACACCCCCAGCCTGCCTTAGCAGAGGTAATGACAAAAAGGAAGATGACAGTCTTGCTATATGCGGTCCTGGTCAGGCTCTATCTGCTTAACACAGTCTTACATTACCACTAAGACTTCATTTCCAATTCTAGCTTCTGTGACATTTAATGATGAACACTGAGAAACTGGCCAGACTCAAGAGGACAGCAAGGCAGAGTGCCACGCAAGGAGAAGCAAAGGACATTGAGCTGGGCCTGGGGCACAGGAAGCCGGGGCAGACACAGACACTTGTCCTCAAGAGTCTGAGGAGCCATCACAAGGAAGAGAGATCTGAACTGTGGTGCCCAGAAGGAAGAAGTAAGGACATCAGATATAGTTATAGAGGAGGATTTAGGCTCAAGTCAGGCAGAACTTGTCCATACTTAGAAAGCTCCCAAAGTGTCTCGGGCTTTTTATCACTGGTGGTTCTGAGGGAGGCTAAGCGACCATGTATTTGGGATCTTCGAAAGGGGACAGGCTGGAATAGATGGCCCTCAAGGTCCTCTTCTACTTAGAGATTCTATAGAACTTATGGTCGTAGGGGTAAAGAATAAAAGGCATAGTTCTGTTAGGTATTACTAAGAATCTTCTGTATTTGTAAAATACAGAATGTCTAAATGGAATTCATTAGTTTTCTAGAACGTGCCTAAAAAACCTGATAACGAGTGCTTTGGAGAGGTCACTAACTGGGCAAATTTTAGCAGGTTGACTTAAGAAAAAAAATCACCACATGCTTCAAAATAATAAAATGTCAGTTGGCTTTTGAAAACTGTTAGTTTCTGTTAATGTGAAAATACAATAAGCAAGTCAAAAAAGGAAAGTGAATTTCCTGGTGCCTTCCAGAAGCTCCTCTTTGGGAAGAATGAAAAAGCCCCCCCCCCACTAAGGCATCTCACCGAGAATCCTTCTCGTTTTCTGCATTGAGACGATTAGCCTCCTGGGCTTTCTCAGCCATCCAGCGAGTGACCAGCTCTTGGTTGTCCTCCGTGGTTTTCCTCAGTTTCTCTTCTAAGGCAGTAAAGGTGATCTGCAGGGCATCATATTCATCCTTTAGTGTCTGGTTGGCTCTTTCGAGGTCCTGCAGCTTATTTCGAAGTTCTTGGCACTCAGTCTCCAGCTCACTGATTTTCTGCAAACATTCGGCAATTCTGGAAGTACACCAAGGCAAACAAGAGGGGATAAACAATAAGAGGGTCCCAACCGGCAATCTCTGGGAAAGCAGTATTTCCACTTACTTTGCTTCATTCATCTGCATCTCCCGGTCCTTCTGCTGCATCTGGTTATTCAGGTCGATCACCGACTGAGCTAACTGGGGGACAGAAACATTTATTCAGAAGCTGCTAGACAAGCCACACTTGAGAAATGATTGGGGGGCTCACCACATCTCTATAGTAATGGTTCTCCCCTCCCCTCCACCTCTAGGGAACAAACGAGCCCAGCAGACAGATTTCTCACCTCCCCACGCTTCTTATGCAATTCAGTTAACTCTTCCTGATGTTTGATCCTCAGCTGGGCCATTTCCTGGAGCTGAGCATCATTCCACGTGCCATCATGGCCTGGACTGGGATGCCAAGAATCAGCCAAGTGAAGGGAGTTTGGGGAAGACAAGAGAAGAATTAAATCGAGTCACCTTTGGGATCTACTCTAAATAACAGAACAGCAGCGTCCTGATTGTTGAAATGCTCCATAACCCTGAGTTCACTTCCAAACTAGAATAAAAATGAATCATCTCTGGACTGGTAGAAAAAGGAACCAAGTTCCCAGGGGAGAGATGCCAAATTATTATGGAATACCTGATCTCGTGCCTGCTTTGCAAGTCATATTTTTCTGCTTGTAGTTTGTCAGCCAACACCGACTGAAGATCTGATTTCTCCAGCAACTTATTATCTGTCAGAACAAAAAATTCAAGCATGAGGAGCAAACCCAAAGGCAGGCATGCAGGCAGAAGTCAGCGACTGGCGACACAGCCTCAGCAGCTCTCACACAAACTATGCTGCACGCTCTACTTTAACCTCTTCTGGAGGCAGCCAACTGAAATGTGTGGTTGCCTCACCTTTGACCAGGTCCGTGGCACTGGGGCATCCCTGGTGAATCCCTAAGTAGGTAGACTCCGAACGGCTTTCATTCGACCCACAGGCCGCAAGGCCAAGGAAGGGTGTGGAAGCACGTCGTAACGGATTCCCTTCTATCAAGGACACTAAGAAGAATTGCCTCACGCCACCCAGAAATGAGGACACCAGAGAGCTTCCCACTTCAGATCCTCGCTGATCATTTACTCCACTCTGTTCCCTTTACAGCTGAGGAAACTAAGGCCCAGGGAGAGTCTAAGATGTGCCCTGGGTCACACAGCTGGCAAGTAGAGCCAGCCCTGCACACAGGTCTTTCTAGTCCAAGTACGGTGATCCGCTCTTAAACAGCAACACTGCTGCCGTCTGACAGCTGGCTGGGCCACTTACTAAACTTTTTTCCTAGTTGTCAAACAATAACGAAAAGAATACAGGTCAGAGGATCATAGTTCTGGAGCTGAAAGGGATTTAAGAGGCCATCGAGTTTAGCTTCCTCATTTTACAGGAGAGTAAACTGAGGGCCAGGAAGGGGAAGAGAATTGCCTCAGGCTACAAGGGAAGTAGAGGAAGAGGTGGGACTGAGACTTGGATCCTTTGACTCCAGAGCCAGCGCCTGGGTCCTGCCAAGCCAGAACCTCAGGTCTTTCCATCCCAGCTCCCTGAAAGAGTGCTTATCCCCTTGGATTCTGCCAGTTACCGGACAGGAACGACAAAAAACTCTCACAACAAAACGGATTTTAATTAAAAAAAAAAAACAACACCACCAAAATAACCTCTCCATTACTTTCCAGCTCTAACTTCATACGTGGTACTGTGGGGGGGGGGGGAATGGAGAGGGGATGGACGGATAAGCATTTATCGAGTACCTACTGTGTCAGGCACAAATATGATCTCATTTGATCCTCACAATAACCCTGGGAGGCAGGTGGCTATTACTGTGCCCATTCTGCAGTGAAGAAACTGACACAGACAGAAGTGAAATGACTTCTGCAGTGTTACACAGCTAGTGTCTGAGGCTGGATTTGAACTCAGGTCTTCCAGACTGTAGGCTCAGCATCGTATCCACTGTGCCATCAGCTGCCATGAAACTACTGTTACAACTCCTGAGAAGCTTAAAAACCAGCACTCCAGGAAACTAGGACTTACCTGCTTGTGGCTCGTTACACTAACTAGGTATTTCATCTCTGGTGTTCTGGCTTATTGCTACATGTTAACTTCTCTCTGGCGCTTTGACCTTAACCCCGTGGGCCCACAGTCCCACTCAACATTTCTTTGTGCATTCTCAATCGATCATTAGCTATTTTCATCAAAGCCCTGTTTTTGAACACAGATTTCACAACTTCTAAAAGCAAAGATGTCCACTCTGACCAAAGGGCCCTATGACAAATGATGGCAGCAGGGGCAGTGGTAGCCATTTATTTTAGTAGTATTAAACAGAAACATTTTTAAATGCCAGCAGGTTACAGGATCTTGCATCCATGATACTATGGTAAGTCTTTCAATGGACAAAACTTCTTAGGGCACCTAGTGAGGGCCTTTCTAATGGTCTCTTCAATGACAATGGAGAAGGCAGAAGGGGAAGGGCTAAATGTAGATCCCTCATTTCTTTCTTCTCAATAGGGGAGACACTGATATGATCCAGAAAAACTACAAGGAATTAGGCAAAGCTGAGGTTTGCCCGGGGGTGAGGGGGTGCCAGGCCAGGCTTCTTAGGTCCAATCTTCCAGGGAAGAGAATGCCCAGAATCAGCATGGCAGCAGCACACCAGCCACCCTCACAGCTTCCAGTGACAAGCCATAGGGCTCCATAAAAACAGTCACCTCTTAGGAGAAGAGAGCTGGGCTGGCCCAGGGAGGATGGATTAGAGATTGAGTACAGAATCACAGAGTTTGAAGGGGTTTTAAAAACTATGTACTCCCATGCATCAGATTGGGATTAAGAAATGAAGACCCGGGGCCAAGGTCACACATCTGGGCAGCCACAGCAGAGGCAGGCCCCAAACCCAAGTCTGGGATTGCTGTATCTGGAAGGGACCCAAAGAATCTGATGCAAGTACCTGAACAGATATTTCTCCCACAACATGCTGACAAGTAGACGTCGGGGCCCTGCCTGACCTCTTCACCAGAGCACCAATGCAATGGGATTTAGGAGTTCAATTACTCCTTCTGGGGCTGGTAAGAGCTCCATGGGAGCCCCAGGCTCAGGAGCCGATCACTCCTACTCTAATGAATGATCAACTCTCTCAAGACTGAGGTGCTGCACATGGGGCAAGCTGTTAGACAAGTCATAAATGTAGAAAGTACTCAATAGATGCTGATATTAAAGTGTACAAAAGTCAGTAATTGTCTAATAATGCCTTAAATTAAGTATGTGGCAATTTTGTTTTTGCTTGATCCTAGTGGGAAAAAAGTTAATTTAGAGTAGATTTTCTTAACCTTTATATATAAAAGTTAAAATTTAATCCTGTATGATTCTTAATAAAAGATTTCTAAACGTGACAGTGATCTTCAAAGGCAGACTACAAATATTTGAAAGTTAAAGTGTGGAGGTGCAGGAGACACAGGAAAGAATAAACATAAGCTGTTACCAGCAGCGGCGATTGCCTTTATTAATTTATTAAAACATTTATTAAACATCTATAAGCAGAGCACCAGAGGACTAGCCTTGGAGTCACTAAGGCCTGGATTCGAGTCTTACCTCTTATCCACAATGGCTGTGTGCTCTTGGCAGCCCCTGCAAGGGGTGGGGGGAGACCTGCAGCCTCGAGGCCACATGTAGCCCTCTAGGTCTTCAAGTGCAGCCCTTTGAACAAATCCCCCTCATAAAAGGACCCGAGGACCTAGAGGATCACATGCGGCCTTGAGGCCACAGAATCCCCACCCCTGCTCCAAGACAAATGCCAATCTGCACTGGTAGAAAGAGCTCCCCACATTGACTGGGGTGAGACTAAGTTCAGGTAGGCCAGGAGCCCTGCCCTCAGTTTCCAGCCAAGCAAACTCAACATCACCGACAAACTAGATGATTGTCTAGTGAGCCCATAGCTATATGCCTCCGGAGGTTAATGGCTGCCAGTTCCATGTTCTGCCCTGGTATTTCTGACAGTTATTACTGTCCTGAGCTAGAAGTCCAGCTCTCTCCACTCTCCAGGATGGGAAAAAGGACTTCAATATTCTCTCACACGTCCCTATCATCCTTCCTGCATTACCCATCACTGCCCCCAACAGTGGATAAGTGCCAAGATGGCAGTCACAAAGGAGAGCAGGTGTGGCAGAAGCTCCTCTGGAAGCGAGCCTGAAGAATCCCTTGTCCCTGGGGCTGCCCTTTGGGTGGGTCACAGCCCAAATATGATGGGTGATGGGAGCTCATCCACCAGCCCAGGATGTACAGGAGCCAGTTGGTCTTCCTGCTGGGACTGTACAAGACCCTGCCAGGGCAGTGTCTTCCTTCCATTCAGAAGAAACTGAAGGGTGCCCCTTTCAAAAGGTGATGGGGAATGTTCAAAGGAGGAAGAGAGTAGTCTAAGGAGAGCATTAAATGACCACTGTTCTCTTGGATGGAGCAGAAAGTTAACTCCAAATTGAATTTTAACACACTGTGAACTTTTCCTTTTTCTAATTGTTCTGTGGTAGAGACAGGGCCAAGAACATGAGCTGGTTTGGACAGCTCCCTCTTTAGGCAAGAAATGTTTGGATTTAGATTAATGCTAATACAATTGTTTTAGGCAGACGTGCAGAAAATGTTTAGTACAGCATTAATACTTCTTCTATAGTAGTGCAAACATCACCATCATTTTAAATAGGGGAAAACCGAGCCTCGTGAGAGGTAAAGTGCCTTTCTGGGGTCACACAGGGAGATGGCATCAGAACTAAAACATAACTTCAGGCCTCGTAAGCCCAAGTCCACCCTTCTATCCATTACACCACAATAATGAAGGCTAAGTTAAACATTATATAAAAAAGGAAGCAGACTCTAATCCTTGTTTAAGAAACATCAAACGCTGTGGAAACATCAAAATGAATCATGGAAATGTTTTCCAAAGGAACTTTTAGAAATGGTACTAAGAAGGGAAAATCAAATAAAACACTGGCTTGGGGACAGCAACGCAAACCTGCAGAAATGTCAAGCAATGTCTATCATTAGGAGAAGAAGCAATGTCTATCATTAGAAGAAGAGAGGCGAGAGGGGAACTGTGAAAAGTCACTCGATGGAGGAGCCTGTCCATTAGCAATAACTGATGATGATTTGGAAAACAAAAGCTTGATCAGATCAGGGTCTCCTCAAAGCAGCCCAGAGTGCGGCTGGTTGTCCCGTGTTTACATCCCATTCTTCTGGGAACCTCTGAGAAACCAGCCACTGATGCATTACAGCTTCCAGAACTGAGAACTAACAGGTTGCACTAGGAAGTACCCACTCAAGCTCTCGGTCTCGGCTAACACGGTGAATGAAGTCTGTGATTCCCAGAAAGAAAAGAGACCAATCAATCTCCCTCAATGTCCCCGTGCCAAGCACAGTGCCCTACTCATGTGGGTGACACACAACTCCGTCCAGTGACGGTCCCTCGCCCTCCTCAGCGTGAAGCTGAAGCTGGGGGTGCCCCTTTCCTCCCCAGTCCTCTCAAGGAAAGGGTCCTCACCAAAGGGCTTTCTCCCCTAGATGCCTAGGGGGGTGTGGCCTGCCCTCCTCTCTCCCCCACGCGGGCATCTGTGCTCAGGGTGAGGTCGCCCAGCTGTTCTGGTAACGCCAGTGTCTCCCGAGCCCCGCCTCCAACGGTCCCGTCTACACCTGGTCTAGCCATGGATGTTTGCAGGTTGTCTCCACCTTTACTGACTTGTACCTTTGTCCATCTCGTCCTTTTCCAGCAAAGCTCCCTGGCCCACCTTTTCTTTGTGTGCACACACACACACACACACACACACACACACACACACACACACTTACTCACACCCCCCCAACCCACCCACCCCCGGCTCCGGTTAAACGAGGGCCCAGACCGGACAGCTCCGGCCCCGCCCCGTCTCTCGGGCTGACTCCGCGGCGCCCACACTAACTCTCTCCCCCCTAGACTATAAGCTCCCCGAGGGCAGGCGCTGCTTCCAGTCCTGCCACGGGATCCCCGAGACCGAAGCACGTGTGCCGGCCTCGGAGCGGGAGCCGGGGGCACCGAGGGGGAAACTGAGGCCCCGGGGAGTGGCTCACACTGCGCGATGATCTCCTCGAAGGCCTGCCTCTGGAGCCGGTCCCGCCGCCGCAGCTCCTCCGCGATGTGGCGCTTCCAGCTCGGGAGCCCGGCGCCCCGGAGGCCCGTCGACATCGCCGCCCCTTGCCGCCCGCTTCCGGCCGACGTCCGCCGCGCCCGCCCCGGCGCCGAGCATCGGGGACGGCGCCGGCTCCGGGTCCGGGTCTCGCCGGGCCGGGCCGAGACGCGCCTCGGAGCGTCTCGCTCGCCTCCGGCAGCCGCTCGCTCGGCGCACAACGGCGGTTTCCGGTCCGCGCCGGAAGCGAAGCGAGCGCGCGCCAGGAAGTCCTGCCTCCCCCGCCCGGGACGCCGACGTGCGCACGCCGTGCGGGGGGCGGGGCCACGTCTCCGGGAGCCTTTCGCAGTCGGGCGGAGGCGGAGCCGGGGGCGGGGCTTCCTCCGCAGCGGGGCTTTCTCGGAAGGGCTCCAGGCGATTGTGCGCCGGGCTTGCTGCCCGAGACCGAGCGTACCTTCCCGCTCCTGGGGTGGAGCCGCCCCTCCCTGAAGCAGCATCGGTTCAGCAGCATCCCCCAGGCGTGCTGGGGAGCTCTCTACCTATCAGGGCAGCCCATCCCCTTTTACGACAGCCCTAGTGGAACTGGTCTTGACTTCTGGCTTCAGTGTGCCTCGGCACCGCGTTCGTCCATTGCTTCTTGTTCGATCCAATTCCATTCAGTTCTAGCCAACTTAATTCACCTCAATTCTAGTCAATTCAGTTCCGTTCAGTTCAATTAAATTCAATAGCATCCAGCGCCACGAGCTATTAGCAGGCCCCCACCTAGTCTAGGACCCCACCTAGCACGTGCTGAGCACCGGGGAAACAAAGACAATAAGGCCCCCGCTCCCTTCCCGAGGCCCCCGTCCTTCAGGCTCAACCTAAGAGCCGACGCTTGGACTGGGCGTGCTTCTCCTCCGTCCTCGGAGGCTTGCCACACCTGTGCCAGGTAGACGCTGCTGGCGTTTCATCCGTGCTTTCAAAATGGGGAGACCGAGGCTCAGCAAGATTAGCTTGCTCCCAGGGACAGTCAGATTCGTTTTCCTTAACATCTTCTTCACCGCCTTTCTTCCTCTTCTTACCCATCTCTGTCTCCTGGCTTTCTTGGAGACGCTACGAATCCTAGCTTCTTCGGGAGGTTTTTCCCGGTTCCCCAACAAGCCCGTGCTTTTCCTCCGAGGTTTCCATCCCTTTTCACAGCATATGTCCTGTATATACGTAATGATTTGCAAACTGTCTCCCCGATTAGAGCGTGAGCGCCCCCAAACCCTTTCTTTGTATTCCCAGCAAGTAGCCTGGCACGCGGTAAGGGCTTCATAGAGGCTGCTAGCGTTGGTGAAGGGCCCCTCAGACCTCGGACGAAGGCGCTCCCTGGGGGCTCAGCCCTGGACAGAAGCTTTGTTCTTCTCTTTCCCATGGGGCTCTAAATGGGAGACTAAGGGCCAAAGATAGTGTCTCTCATCTCTCTCCTAAGAAGATGGAAAGTTCCAAAGGTCACGTGTTAAGGTAGATAGACCCAGTCTGGTCCAGGAGAGGCCCCTAATTCCATTCTATTTACAGAACACATGCAGATTCTTTTACCTTGAGGGTTCCTGTTAAGGACCATATACAGAATTTACAGAAGGCATTCGGTGGATTTGTCTGCTTACATTAAATCAGAAATCTTCCTGAGGATAAGTGTGCTGCCACTAGTGTGCATTAAATAACTTTCTGTTTCAAGCAAAATTGTCTGTTTATTTAGTGGGATTCCCCCTCACCAGGTGTCCTGTTATCTATTGGCAAAAAGATATCAAGGTAAATAGAACTCTGACCTTCAACAGAATTGGTGAAGAGAAACATGGGTACTTTGTCCTTGGCATTATACTATGGGTTAAATAAAAATTTAATGATTAATTTAATTTTAATTTAAAAAGGCAAGACATAGACTTTGTCCTCAAGTTTCTGACAATATACTTCATAGCTCATAAAATTTAGAACTCGCAGGAACCACGGAGATCATTAATTTGATATTTTACAGATGAGGCAGCTGAGCCTTGGAGAGACTCACAGGGTCTGTCAGACAGAACACTGGATTTGGAGTCAGGGGTCTGGGTTCAAATCCTTGCTTTACAACTTTTCTACTTGTGTGATTATGGGCACTCAATCATTCTAAGAAAATGGCACTAGAGGAATTGATCTAGTCTGTATGGAAATGCTACCAGAGCTAAATATGAAATACCAAATTAATGCAACAATTCAATTTAACAAACATTTGTTTAAATTGTTGCATACAGCTATGTCAAGGCATCATTTTGGGATTGGGAGTACAAAGAATGACAAAGTACTTTGCCTTCATAGAGCTTACAGTCTATTGGGCAAGTCACTTAAAATCTGGTTGCCTCAGTTTCCCCATATGTAAAATGAGGGTGATAATAGCACCTACCACACAAGGTCGTTGTGAGGATCAAATGAGATAATATTTGTAAAGTGCTTAGTGTGGTGCCTGGGGTGTAGTAAGCACTATATAAATGTTAGCTATTATTTTTAAAAACTAGTGGGAGAAGGAATGGCAGAGCTCATCTGATCCGATTTCCTCCTTTTATAAGATGAGACTTTGAAGGCTTGCACATCTGGTTGGTGCTGAATCCAGAGGCCTGCCCCCCCACCCCCCACCCCCACCCCAAGTCCCTCCTTGATGCCCCAGCTTCCTAATGCTCTTGGGCATGGTGTGTTGTGGCTGGAATTTGGGTTTGAAGGATGTATAAAACCAAGGTTTTCATGTTTAAAATGGTGAAGAAAAAAAAAAGGTGATTGATGAGTAACTCATCCCTTCCCTCCCCAGCTCCCATATATTCTTTGCATCAGCAAGTGGTGCCCTTCCCATCATTTCTCCAGAAAAATTCCCCAGTCTGGGATCTTCCAAAGTCCTGTCTAACTGAAGCAACCTCCCCTAGCAGAAAGTGCTACTTGCGGTGAGAAATGTCTTGTTTTTCTTTGTCAGAACTTCAGGACAGGGGTTATATTAGAAAATATTGTCGTAAGAGGTAAGAAGGGATTCTTTCTTTTTTTTTTTAAAGAAAAGTGAAAGGAAGCCATTCCAGAGTCTAATTCTTAAGTGACTCAGACCAATATTAGTAGTTCTGTAGGAGATATAACAAAGGCTTTGTTCTTTCACACAGGATAACCATAAGGGATGTGACAGCTTTTTTGGTGAGTTTTGGTGAAATAAATAAATAAACAAACAAACAAACAAATAAGTAAACAAATAGATTGTGTGTGACATGTACTCAGCTGGATTCTCAAATGACCTTATCATCAATGCCTTAAAAAAATCATTAAGATCGAAATGGTAATTTGTTCACCTTTCTCTGAAAATGAAGAATTCTAGGCAGCTTGTCTTTCTAAGGATACTTCCTGTCCCTTTGGATCCATCCCTTTACAGCTAAACTTCATTCCTGGTTTGGGGGGACTTGTCCTTGTGGCCTGTGGAGAAGATGAGGGCCATCTGATTTTTTGGTTTGGGGGAATCATTCCTGTAAACGAGAATAGTCAAGCAAGCTTGGACAATGAACAATCATGGAATGCCTACAGCTGACTTTCATGCCTAAATCCAGAGCTTTCTTGAGACCATTGGTCAAAGGGGATCCCCAGCCTTGCTGAGAATTTGCCCCTGTGTACAATAGGACAGATTACGCCAACAGTAATGTCGAATCAGCCAGAGTGGCTGTTGAACCAGACTGACCTATTGATCCTGTATGAAAATTCAGTTTGAATGTACTTAGCATCAGAATATTTGACCTGGAAAGGCAATTACAATTCATCTAATTCAGGGCTTCTTAATCTGGAGTCCCTGGACTAAGGAGGATAGATTTCAGGGGGGACCATGAACTTGGATGGGAAAAAAATGACCTCTTTGTTTTTGCAAACCTTTAACTGAAACTTAGCACTTCCTTAGATTTATTTTATGCATATAAAACCATCATGCTAAGAAGGGGTCTGAAGGCTTTGCTAGACTGCCAGAGGGTCTGAGACGCAAGAGAAGGTGAAGAAGATACTCTATCTAAAGCGATCACACGTAAGAGAGAAGGCCTTGAGTGACTTGCCCAGGGTCACACAGTTCATACTTGTCTGAGCTGGGACCATTATAGATTTTTTTGTCTCCGTAGTCTATGGTTGGTCCCTTATCCTACCCTGCTGGTTGTAAATTGCATTCACTTTTAGAAAAAACACTTTTTTTGTTGTTGTTGCAAATGAATCTGCTAATATGCACAATGTGATTTGGAAATGTGCCCTTGACGAACTATCTGGTCACTTTATTGTGCTTTTAATCCTTAACTACATGGTTTGTTACTGTTGCTGTTCATCCTTCATTTTTTTTGTTTTGTTTTGTTTTGTTTTGTTTTGTTTTGTTGCGAGGCAGTTGGGGTTAAGTGACTTGCCCAGGGTCACACAGCTAGTAAGTGTTATGTGTCTGAAGTCAGATTTGAACTTGGGTCCTCCTGACTCCAGGGCTGGGGCTCTATCCACCTAGGTGCCACCTAGCTGCCCTTCATCCTTCATTTTTGAAGAGGACCAATGACATCACTGGTGTTATCTTGACTTGCTTGTGAACTGGATTCAAGACAGAGTTGCACAAAGTCCTCAGGCTCATTCTCTCTTCCAGAGCCATCAAAGTCCAGTGGCGGGACAAAAATCGGGATGACTTGCAATGGCCCAGATTGAAGGGGATGACCTTGGTGTCTGCAGTGTCTGACCAAGTTCTAAGCTAGCTTCACGGCTGTTGGAAGAAATTGTTCTCATCGGCCTGTGCCCCGGGGGAAGTCTTCACATGCTTGGGGTAGACATCCACGTTACTCACAGATGGGTTTGAAGCCTATCAGTTACCCTCAACCTCTTTACTGCATCCACCAGAGGGTTTCGTTTGGGGTGCGGCCGCTGCTCATGCTACAGCTTCTTGGAGTCACAGGTGAGAGACGGGTGACCTGTGGACACCAAAGGTGGATGCGCAGCCCTGGAAAGCGCTCAGGAGCCCTCACATTGGAGGTGCTAGTCTTCCCCGAACACCCTGCACACTCCACTGGAATGATCTAAATTCTAGTCTTACTGTTTTCTTCAA